TAAAGTATTCAGGTTTTTAAGTAAAGAATCGCCATGAGTGAATTTGTTTTTATTATTAATCAATCTTGATGCGTGTTTCTGGTGTATATATATATAGAGAGAGAATTTAGTTTGGATTTATTTGTACTTCCCCAGGCAATATTACCATATGTTTGATAACTTTGTATATAAGAAAAGTAGGGAATTTTTAGATTCTCCTGGAAAAGTATAAGCTTGACTTTGTAAAGCATGCCGATACTTTTTGATATTTTTGGATTTAATGTTTTTATATGGGATTTCCAAGAAATCGTTTCATCAATAATTATCCCAAGAAATTTAATGGTTTCAGTTCTTTCAATGTTTATGTTATCAATTTTTAGTAATGGTAGCATGCTTGGTTTTTTGTTTTTTTGCTGGTTGGAATGAAACAAGATGTATTTTGTTTTTTCTGTATTTAAAGATAATTTATTTACTTTAAACCAAATATTTAGACTCTCAAGTTCATCATCATCGTTCACAGATTCAAAGAGATTTTCAATTGATGCTGATGAATAAAACAAATTTGTGCCATCAGCAAATATTATTGCATTGAGTTTTATCGGGATTGTGGAAGATTCCACGTAAATTAAAATAAATTAAAATAAAAGAGGACAAAGAATGGAATCTTGGGGAACTCCGCATTTAATTTTTAGTAAATTTGAAGATTTATTTATATTCAAAATAATACATTGTTGTCTGTTGCACAGATAACCCTAACCCTGAACCATTCTAGGCTAGCATTTTTTCGTGTTGTTCCCTTTTTTAAAGTTAGATATCATGATTAATTGTGTCAAATGCTTTTTTTAATAGAATCACTTATGCTATTAAATAAATCTGAAATTGCATGCTTTGCTGAGTGCTGAGCTTGAAAGCCGAATTGTTTTTTATTTAAGAATTTGTTTTGAATTAGGTATTCATATAATCTATTGTAGATTATTCGTTCAAGTATTTTAGAAAAGGTTGGAAGTATTGAGATTGGTTTGTAATTGTTTAATAGAAATGTTTTACCAGTTTTAAAAATAGATACAATTTTATCTACTTTTAATTTATCTGGTACAGTTCCAGTTTTAATTGATAATTTAAATATTTTGAAAATAGGTTTGCGTACCTCCGAAAAGATATTAACAGTAATATTAATGTAAATGTCATTTATACCTGGAGACTTTATTTTAAGTTTATTGCATTTTCTAGATTAGCAATTTTTAGTTCTTTAAATATTCGTTGTTGACACTATTTAGATAAGTTTTAAATTTTAATTTATCATTCAACAGTACTGATTAAAGCTGTTTAAATAATGTAATGATTTCTTGGATTACTCTGTCAAAGGAGAATAAAATTTCTCATCTCAGCTCATTTACTTGTTTCAATGCAGCATCATGTGTCAATGCAGCATCATTGCATGTTTATGCAAACTTTAACCTTTTTATTATGTTGGAGATACTATTTTTTTTAACTTGTAAAGCCCACCTAGGGACTCTATAAAAAGATTGTGGTGACTTTAGTCATCCGTATCTTCTTTGAGCCCCCTGCCTGTTTATTATGCCTTTTTTTGTATGTAAACGTTTTTTTGTAATTATATTTCTTATTATATAAACAGCAAATATATATTAAATTAAAAAAAAAAAAAATGTGATTCTTCCTTTCTCCCTCTGTTTCTTTTTTCTACATTGAAAATCCATGGTTATGTTCAGATTATCACAAATTTCTTTACTTTTCATAAACGACTGTTTTATTAACTAATTGATCTCTATTATCTGTTAAAAAATAACTTTGAAGCTTTTAGTTTGATATCATTTTGTTGTATTTTCGATCTTTTTGTTTTGAGGTAGATCTATGATTCATTTCTCGAAGGAACTCCCACAATTTTGTTTTGAGGTAGATCTATGTTTCATTTCTCGAAAAACTCCCACAATTTGAGAAAGCACAAAAACAAAAAAATGGTTGCCATGTTACCGACAGCAATTAACTTCACAAATCGAATGCTCTGCAGCATTTAAGATTTTATTTATTTTTTTCTTTTTTTAAAGCACTAACTCCTTTCGTATTCTATTGTGTTTTTATTACGCATTTGACACTCTGACCACAAATTTAATGCTCTGCAGCATTTAAGATTTTAATTTTTTTTTTCTTTTTTTCTAGCACTAACATCTCCTTTCGTATTTTATTGTGTTTTCATTACGCATTTGACACTCTGACCAGTGGACGGAAGTCAAAACATCCCAGTGATGAGTCAAGGAAGATAAAAATGTGAATAAATGCTTAATAGCTCTAAAAAATGAAACAGAATATACAGTTGCATGTAAACCTGCTAAGTTTAGGGAGTAATTTCTAACAAATTCTTCTTTGCCGTAGTGTATTGCTTCTTAACAAAAGGAAGTTGAAAATATAAGAGAACAAAATAAAAATTAAAAATGAAATATAATTAGAGAGTTTTCTAGTGTTTTTTTCTCGAAATTTCGATAAAATACAAAGATTTTTTTATTATAATATTGATAAAATGGCATACAAAATAGAAGAATAAATATAAGTCTTTTAACAAACATCCTTTAAAAACAAGTTTTTAACTTTTTTAGTGTTAAAAACGTTCTGCAATTCCAATTAGAGACATTTTTTAAATAATCTTATTTTTGCTTTATTAGCAAGAGATCAAGGGTTCGATGCGAGCTCTGGGCAAATTTTGCGCCATTGCAATGCATTGGTAAATGAACTTTCTCTCTCTCTCTCTCTCTCTCTCTCTCTCTCTCTTATATATATATATATATATATATATATATATATATATATATATATATATATATATATATATATATATATATATATATACACTAATTAATTAGTTAACTAGTTAACTAATTAACTAATGCTTCTTGCACTTGAAGGACCTACAAGTAAATATTATTATAAGCACTATAAGTAAATATTTTGGCAATTTTATTTAAATTTTACAAGTTGTCACAATTAAATTAACTTTTCTCCAGAATTGACCACATTTTTGGCATTGAGAACTAATAAATTAAACACATTTAATTATACTACAATAAAATCATTTTTACCTGGGGTGACAGGTAAAGGTCGTCCACCTTTTGCTTGAGCCAGACGAATTGTTTCTTGAGGGGAAGCATCTGTGCCAGCTATTGCAGAAGCTGCAATTTGTTGAGCAACTGTGCTGTCATTTGATGCCAAAAGTCTCATATTTTCACGAAACTTAGCTTCACTGCATACATGAGAAATTCTTTTCCCCAGAAGCGAGAGGAATTTGGAACCTCTGTGGTCAGATGTTGAATTTATTCACAGCTTTCTCTTCACATGTTATCATTTTTCTGACTTTTTCAAGTGGAATTCATTTAGCTTCAGATGCCCAACTTGACATATAATGCAATCACAGATCAGTCCGCTTGCAGGTCGCTTGACATTGATGGTTTCAAAGCCACAGAGTTTTGGCTTGACAACCTCTTTTTCATCAAGTTTTCTGCGCAGTGTTGAACAACATCCTTCACAAATGCCAATCGGCATTCGTTCATTTTCAAAGTTGATCTTTTGTTCAAACAAGTTTTAAATTTCCTGTGCCATTGATGGTGAAATTGTCCTTGTGCTTTTTTTCAAGCACACAGTTTTCCGGCAATCTTTGTGAGTTTTAGTTTGATTGCGCATTTTAAAAGACCAAATGATTCCAAAATCCTAAAAATGAGTGGCTCTTTGTTTTGATGTATTGAGAATAGCCCTTTCCCGTAATTTTAACACCAATAATAACAAAAAATCATTTTATGTAGAAAATACAGGTATGCTCTTTTTGCAAAGTCATAAAAACAAAAAAAACAATGTTTTAGTCGTGTAATAATAAAAATATCACTCACTTAAACTTTTTTGTATACTGTAAAAGTGCAAAAACTAGTTATGCTGTCATTTCGCGACGTTATAATTATCTTGTTCTATCTCCACTTTCTGAAAAAATTGAGTTAATGATAGTGTTGTGTTCCTTAAAATAATGTCTTTCTACTGAATTGAAATCTAAGTAAAAAAGTTGTGGAAAAAACATAAGTTATAAAAAAAAATTTATACGCCGTCTCCTAAAGTTTTTATTTTTTAAATCCTTTTATCTCAAAACTAAAAAATGTGGAGATAGAACAAGATAATTCTAACGTCGCGATTTGTCTAGTTGCTGTAATATAATAAAAATAAAAACTCATTTTATTTTCCGAGACGAAATAGTTGGACTTCAAATTTTATATTTTTGAAATCCAGACATCAAGGGCTTTTATATGCACCCTACAGTTATCATGAATTCTAGCTTGGGTGGCCTCTCATATACTTTGGTGGTTTAATATAAATTTAATATAAATTTATAACAGCTTTTTTGTATATTTAAATTACTGATGTCTTGAAAAAATAATTTTTTCTGAAAAAGTGTTCAAATTCTGATGATAAGTGGTGCTTTTGTCCCTTCTAACTCCCTGGATACGCTCGGTGGTTAGTGGTCAATAAGAATTTGTAGCCCACTCTTAAACCTATCTTTTGATATCAAGATATTTGTATTTCGATTATAGTTGACAAAGTTATGACTATTTAAGCTAAAAAAAAACTTAATTTTGACCACAGTTTATTTAACAAATCCATATAATATATGGATTATGTACCGATTTTTCTATACTATTGAAAAATCGGTACTTAAACCGTCATAACTTTTGTAAGAAATATTCAGTTTTAATAATTTTATCACCTTTAAAATACTGTATTGATGCTCTTTACAATGGTATGTAACATTATAATATTTAAAGATATTGAAATTTTTACTATTTTACGCAAGTCGTGAAATAAAAAAACCTGAAAGATCGAAAGATACATACGATATAAATAAAAAAAGGTCATAAAGGACATGCAGCTGTTCCATCTAGTTATTATAGAAATCAATGTATTACAGTGCGCCTGCGCTGAAATTTTTTTATTTATTTTGTCTATATATATATATATACAACCAAAAGTCATGTTCCAAATTTAATGTTATCGAAGAAATATAGAAACTCTCAAATAATACAAAAAGAATACCACCATTATCACAAAATATATCACAAAAAGAATATCACCATTATAACAAAATATATTACAAAAAGTATATCACCATTATCACAAAATATATCACAAAAAGAATATCACCATTACCACAAAATATATCACAAAAAGAATATCACCATTATCGCAAATTATATCACAAAAAGAATATCACCATTATCACAAAATATATCACAAAAAGAATATTTCCATTATATAAAGAAATTTTACTTTGATTAATTTTTTGTATAAGATTTTTATGATTTATAAAAATCTTATGACAGATTTGTATAAATCATAAAGGAATAGAAATTACCAACATTTATCAGTTGTATGCTGATAAATAATGGTTAATTAATAATAAATCCGATAAAATATTATACACGAAAACAAAAGAGAAAATAAAAGAAATAAAGGTATATTTATTAATGCTTGTTATAAAATTTAATTATTTGAAGTGCATTTGTTTATGTAAAAGTAAATAAAAAAATTAATAGGATAGAAAAAGTTAAGTTTAGCCCAACAGTATTTGATAGCATCAACAACACTGGAATTAAACACTTGAGCTGCAAGGTTAAATTTCATTTTCTGTTGCCTCTAATCTATATATTGAGATTTAAGTTTATTACCAAGTTTCAGACCCTCTGCATCTTGAATCCTCTGCATCATGAACCTTCTGCATCTTGAACCTTCTGCATCTTGAATCATCTACATCTTGAATCCTCCGCATCTTGAACCCTCTGCATCTTGAAGCTTTGTAAATATATAATGTATTTCCAGCATTTTTTTTTGTTTTTCAGAATTAAACAAAATACCTTTTTCTGCTAATGTATTTCTCATCAGGTTTAGCATATGGTATACATCAAGGAAAACAATTTTTTTTTCATTTGCTATGTGTGGATGTGGAAATGAAAATACCATATTCGTTACTTTTAATGAAGTTCCAAGTTCTGATAGCATACTAAAACGGCAAGATGGCTACTATCACAAGCAATTAATATAACTTCGACACCATCACCAGACACACGCTGAATACAGACTCTAATAAGATAAGCTCTAATGAGATATATACAAACATAAATAAAATTAAATATATATATTTATTATATACGGTAAATATATATTTGCTATATACTGCCTAAGGAGGCTTTGGGTTGAGTTATTTGGGTTGAGTTACACTCGCATTGCTCTATTAATGATTTATACAACAATCCGTAAGCCTTTACCTTAACAATCTCACGCATTTTATATATATATATATATATATATATATATATATATATATATGAATTAACAAAAAGAAACTGATATCTATGATAAAAGTTATATAAGATATATTGGAGATAATTATATTATCATAGGCTCTATGATAGAGATAATAATATTAACCTAGTTGAAAATTATATTGTTATTATAATTTTATTCAAGAAAGCAATGTTCATTATATACACATGAAAAGTTCTTGATAATTTCCTTCTAACAACAAACTCCTCATCGGAATTTCCTGATCACTTCTTAAGTCCCTAGTTTTTTTTCTGATGCTGTGTCTTATTTAAAGCGATTAGTTGAAAAACTAAGCTTAAAGTTTATGGGAATTAAAATTTTGGGGGCTTTCCAACATAGCGCTTTTGGCGTCAAAAATTATAAATTTTGTTAAGAGTTGCGCTATCCAGTTATTATAGAGATCAGTGACACACACAGGGTCGCCAACAAAACTTTAGGCTGTGGGGAAGTTTTCTCGGGGAGACCTTGTTAAATGATCAATCATATACCCAGGACCAGAATCTTTCGGCTTCGTATGAAGTTAAATTTGTAACTCGATTAATTAATAAAATAAAACTCTAGATATAAAATATTGTAGAATTTAGATATACAAGTTCAAAAAACTTCATATATAATTTTATACGATGAAAAAAATATTATTTTTACAAACGCAGTTCAGTTTTTATATATATATATATATATATATATATATATATATATATATATATATATATATATATATATATATATATATATATATATATATATATAATCAAAAAAAAAATTATAATAACCGTTTAAATTTTGCGAAAATAAATTTTTCCACGGTAGATGACCCTTGAACACTTGAGATTTAAAGCACGTAGCCATTTAAAGGTATCTTTAATAAAATCAGTGTCGTCGTGCAGTGCAAGATGTAAAACTTTACAAATACTAATCCACGGAAGAAGATTTTCTTCAAATTCGTGCTTTGAAATTTTATAATCCGATAAGGTTATCCATAACTTTTTAATCTTATTTTGTGGTATCCATCCATTGATTTTAAAAAAGCAATAAATATAAACACGATGAACATTTGTAGCACATTTAATAATTAAATTTTTTTCATTTTCATCTAAATTATTTTTTCGAACAAATAATTCCGATAACTTTCTCCCCCAATTGATGAAGTCATTTACGAAATAATTTTCACAAGAAGTTTCATAAGAAGTTTTTCCATCATCAATCAAAATTCTCCAATATTTATTATCGATTAACGACTTTAGTTCATCTGTAATTGATGATTGACTTTCGTAAAAACATTGAATAAATATTTTTTTCCGAATATCGTAATCATCTATTTGATCTGTAAGAAAAAGAATGTCATTATTGTTTATTACATTACATCATTTTTGGAAAAAAGTTGTTCAAAAAGCACTAGGAATACATTTTGGTTCATGATTAGCAAAAGATATACACTACTCCAATACCACACAACTGACTTCATTTTTAAATTTCCTTTTTCAAATTATACTATTTTCATAAAAAAACATTAGATTACGCATTAGAACTTGCGGTGAAACGAATAAGATCAGTGTGAGAAAGTTGCGTGATATGGACTAACAGATTATTTCATATAACGGAAATGACAATAAGTGTTTTAAGTTTGTTAAAGATTGTTTTAAAGAAAAAAAGGAAAAAAAAAAAAAGGATCATAAATAATTTGCAATAATTAAATAATAAAAGGCAATATATTTTTACTGTTCGTTTCGTTTTAATTGGAATGACTTCTAAAAAAAAGGTTAGGGTAAAACACCCAGTGTTCGCCAGGTGTTCCAGTCGTCGCCAGTTTTCCATTAAAAAACATGTATGTCAAAAACTATTTGGTTGAAAGTGCCGAAATAGTGTCTAGAATGAACGCCCATCATTGCTTTATATTTGACGAAAGTTTGACGATCGTAACTAAATAAATAAACTCTCAGGATTTTTTTGAATGAAAGTGTGTCACAAAAAAACCTTAATCCTTAAAAATTTTTTTGAGAAATCTTTTTAAACAATTACATAAAAAACATATTAAATATCAATTCAATTTCACTTTTTTTATTCCAGATTGATGGGAAGAACAAGGAGAAGATTGTACCAGGGCTATTCTTGGAAAAAAATTAAGGGGGGCAGGGTTAGGGGGGTGGCGAAGACTGGAACACATAATAGTACCTAGTCCAGTCTTCGCCAGGTAAATTTTTTTTCTTTAAAGTGGCGTATATGGGCTTAATGGTAAAATATGGACTTTGACCCATATGCCAGTCTTCGTTAGGTTGAATTTCGTTTAAAAACAAAAAAGTTATAGGCGTTTTAATTTGTCCAGTGTTCGCCACCCCCCTTTTGCCAGTGTTCGCCATCGGGAACAAATTATTATTTTTTATTAAATGTATAAATATAGCTAAGTATTTATTTTTTATTTCAGAAGTAGGTTATCTGTTAACCTAGTTATTAAACAATACTAAAGCAGTCCAAATAGGGCTATATAACTATATTAAATTAATTTATATATCAAGTTAAGACTTATAATAAATAGTTTCAATAAGTACCTAGGTACATAATATCCATTTAGAATTATGAATACTAGTAAATCAAAGTCCAATAAGGGTTCACGTATGTCTACAAGAGATTCTTACACTGAGGAGGACATTAGAAAGGCAATTGAAGAAGTAAAAAGGTAATAAAATTAGCATGCATTAATAGACATAATTTCAATGCTTAAATTGCTTATTGTGTAGTCATAATAGCCTAATGCCTATAATACATTTAAAAGAAATACATAGGGTAAGGCTGCCTAGTACTGATAAAGTGGTTGCATACCTAAATTATACTGTGCTATATTTCAGTGGTGAAAGAACTGCTTCAGAGGCATCCAAGTTGTACAATATCCCGCGCACCACATTGAGGGACAAAATAAGTGGTAAAGCGCCTGTTGTAAAAAAGATGGGCCCACAAATCTACCTCACTGAAGCAGAAGAAAATGTTTTGGTGAATTTTATTGTTAGCACACAGAAACGTGCCCACCCTGTTACCAAAGAAACCATTATGTCATTGGTAACTAGTCTTCTTTCGGATGAAAGGTTACTTATGGAAGTAAATAGAGACCGTCCCTTTCAATTTGGAAGATCAGGGACTCGACAGCCAGGGAATAAATGGTAAGTAGGTTGTGCCTAAGTTATAAAAGTTGACCTATAGGTAATTAAAATAAAAAAAAATGTTATAATTTTAATAACGAGTCATAAGATTTTTCATTACAAATTAACTTTATAAAACATTTGTAGCTTAATGAATAAAGCTTATAACAATTGATACAGACATAAAATTAGTCTAATAGAAACAGCCTATACCTAGTCGACTAATTTAGCCATTATTTTCTAAGGTATAAGCTATTCCTGTCGAGGCATCCTAACATAGTTGCTCGCATGACTTAATCATTAAGTGCGAATAGAAGAAATGTCTCACAAGCTGTCATACAACAATGGTTTGCTGATATAAGATCGTACCTCTCTGAACATGACCTTCTTGAAATCCTTCAGGAACCCCAGCGTAACTATAACATCGACGAGTCGGGGTTCCAGTTTTCACCCAAGGTTTCCAAAGTTTTAGCTGCTAAGGGTTCTAAAAATGTACCGTATGCGACATCTTCAAAAGAAAAGGAAAGAATCACTGTTCTAGGTACATTTTCATTTTATTCTTTGCTCATTTTTATGTTATTTCTGTAATGCTTTTCTTTTAATGCTGCACTATAAATTGCTTTTTTTTCAACATATCTCTGAGCATGATAGCTTAGCATGATACTAGCTTGGCCTGCTTGCTAACTTTTGGTTTTTTTGCACTTTTCTTTGCAGCTAACGTTGGTGCCGATGGCTCTCTCCCTCCACCGCTTATAATTTATCCTAACCTTCGTATTCCTATGAATGTATACGAAGCCATTCCATCCAGTTTATTTGCAATCGGAAAGAGTGAATCGGGATATATTAACCATCAGGTGCTTTATGAGTATCTCACTAATGCATTTGACCACTGGTTAACTCAACATAATATACAAAGACCAGTTATAGTTTGGTCCGACAAACATGAATCGAGGCTGCAATTTCATTTAGTTAAAACCTTAGCAGACCTGCAAATAATGCTTATATTGATCCCACCAAACTGTACCCATTTCATGCAGCCTTTGGGCGTAGGATTGTTTGGCCCTATGAAAAATGAATGGGCTAAGTGTGTGAATAGGTTCAGGGCTGCCAACCCAAATGAATACGTTACCAAAGAGTCCTTTGCAGGAATGTTCCTGCCAGTGTACACAAGGGTCATGAGTAGAGAGAAAATAGTAAAATCCTTTAAAAAATGTGGCATACAGCCATTTGATCAAGACGCTCCTGATTATACCAAGCTCACTCTTGAAGAAGCCCACTCCGGAGACAGTCGAATATTTGAAGGAGTGCTTCAAGACGGTCGTGTTGAAGCTTCCACTCAAGTTGAAAATTTTTTTCATGTCAATGTTGCGACACAGACATCCTCTGACATCATCTTGTCTGGTAACACAAGTACTAGCACGATGGAAGGACTGGGAGCAGGCCCAAACATTCACCTGTAAGTGATAGCTAGGTATTAGTGTCTAACATTTGTATCAATATAAAATAATAAGCCCAGCTAGCTAGTTAGTAGCTATTATAAACCAATTTTTATTTATAGCTATTACAGGGTAATAAAAGTTAGTAACAATTATAAACTAATTTTTATCTATACTACAGGGTAATAAAAGTTAGTAACTATTATAAAACAATTCTTATTTATATTACAGGATAACAAAATCATTTGATGACTTTGTCATCGATTCGCCACGATTTGATTCACTCAGAATGGTGAAGAGGCAAAATTGGTTCCAATATGTCTTTGATCGAAATCATCGGCAAGAGGATGCACCAGCTGTTGATTCCCTTGTTGTTTCCCCTGTTCATTCACCTAGTATTCATTCTAGTTCAGATGCACAGTGTTCCTCAATGTCAGCCCCTCCAAACAGGACTAGGCCTATGTTGGTAGAACCTCAAAGACAAGCAAGACCACCTGCGATTAGTCCTGCTCTTAAAAATCATAAGTGGTTCCCTTCTTCAAAAAAAGCTATCGGTTAGTGTATTAACTAGGCTACCTATATTTTAAATTTATTATTATAATTTCCATTTTTAATCTCTGTAAAATTACCACATGTAGCCTATGGTCATAAATTTACTTTATTATAACCTGATTATTATTTTAATTTTCATAGGAAAGGTTCGTACAGTGGCTCAAGAACTTCATGCCACATCTGTAGTGACTTCAGATAAAGTTGTCTCGATGCTAGAAGGTATTAGGCTTGAAAAAAAACAACAAGAACAAGCAAAAGAGGAGAGAAAAACGAAGCGCTTAGTTGCTGAATTAGCTAAACGCAACAAGCCAAGTGTTCCAGCTAAAAGGAAGTTGCTGCCAGCAACAAAAATGGCAAAGAAGAAACCAAAAAAATTTTCCATTACATAAAAAAATTATTCAACAATTATTTAAATATATTTTTAATACCAAATAACTAAAAAAAAGAACTCATTTTTTAAAAAGTCTGAGGGTGGCGAACACTGGAACAGGTTCAAAAAATTGCCTGGCGAACACGGGGACCGTTCCAGTGTCCGCCACTTTCAACTTTCGGGGGCTATAGCCCCCTTATTAATTATCGGAGGTCATTCGTTCTAAGTACAGCGTATAGCCCAACTATCCATCTGTACAATAAATATTTAAGATCAATCATTTATTGAAAAACGAGTGAGAAAAAAATATTTTAGTGGGGCAGGGTAGAAAAAAGTGGCGAATACTGGGTGTTTTACCCTATTGTCTCGATTCAAAAAAATTATTTTGATTTCTTAATTTACCTTATGAAAAGTTTGAATTCACCGAAGAAATTTGTTGAAACGGGACAAAATGGTTCGACTTAAAAAGGTTGAAGTTATCCGAAGTTCGAGTCTAAGATATTTAATAGTAATCAATTTAGGATTTTAAGGGACCAAATTGAATAGTTCGAGATGACAAAACTTCAACTTAACAGGTATTCGACTTACCGGAAACTAACTGTGTGTGTGTGTGTGTGTGTTTATATATATATATATATATATATATATATATATATATATACACCCACACACACATATATAATTGAATATATAAATATAATATATATATATTATATATATAATATATAAATATATAATAGTTAATGTTTATGCTGATTATAAAACTATTGTAAACAATCAACTGAAAATAAAGTTTTAAATAAAAATAACATGAAACACTAGGATAGCATGGGTAAACGTAGTGAAATAAACAATGAAAAAAAATTCTTTTAATGTTGTAAAAAATGGATTTTTTTAAAAGATATCTATACAGCTATTTGAGGCTGAAACACACTACTTCATGCAACAAACTAATTAGCCATTTCTTCAACTACAACAAGAAGAGACTTATCAAAACAACATCCAAAATTATTAGCAATCAAAGAATAACTTAATGAGTAATCGTCATGCAGAGTCTGCTATAAGGCCAAAACAACACTATCCGCAAAAACACAATGAATCAATTTTTCAGAATGAATAATAATGAAGAACTAAGTGAAATCTTGACACCTAACTTCTATAAATCACTCTACCGAAACTCAACCACAATAATATAAAACTTGACTCTAACCATAAAAAGTATATAGACTCAATTTCCACCTTAAAATGTTTTTACACAAATGCCACTTCTGTTGTTAACAAAATGGATGAACCATGGCTTACTAAATAACAGTCCTTGCCAACGCGCTGATTGCGTAAAAAACTGGAGGCAAGTTTAAAAATATTATTTCGTAGCAATTTACATTTTCAGTTTAAGTGATTTTTGTCTGAATATAGTTTTTGTCTATACCTATTAAAAGTAACTTATAAAAAGTAAAAAAAAAAAATTTGTTAATATACTTATTTTAATTTTATTTATTATTAAGTATATCTAAAACTAAATTGTGTTGCAACGATTTAGTAAGTAAAGTAAAATTTATAATTTGCTAATATTTTTTCCAGCTTTAACACAAAATTTTTTAGTGGGTTTTATATAAGAAATTTGAGAGATAAAAGAGATATCCATACAAAAAAAAAATTTTTTGTAAAATAAAAAGTAAATACAAGTTTATAAAGATATTTTACAAAACACAAGTTTTTGTTTAAAACATTGCAAACATTTAATTTGTGCTAAGTTTTATCAGCTTCTGTTTTGGCTCCTTAAGTGAACGAGGTGAATAGAGTCTACAATAATTATTTAACTTCTATTTAAGTTCTAACAATAATTATTAAATTTCTATACCTAATGAGTAGTATTCTGATACCATCATAAAGAGGTTACATAGTGATGAACGACAAGTGTTATTGCATACTTCATAAAAAAGAATGTAACAGTAAGTTGCCCATTGGCAGGCTTTGTCACCAGGAATAGTTAAACCTCCTCGATTTATATTATTTACAAAATTGCCATATGCTTCATAGAAATAAAAGGTGTCATCTGGATTTTCATCTTTACGAATAATGTACCCAGCAATATATACTAATGACATTTTAATATCGATAGCCAATGAATCGCTAAGAGCAGGCAAATTGTCAATAATGTTGCAAATATCCTCGCTTGGTAAAAATTTACATTTTGGACAAGAGTGATCTGAACCAAGATTGATTAATACATCTGAACTATTCTCAGACTTTAACAGCAACTTTGTACGATATGTAGTTACTTTTTCAAGAACTTATTGAACAGAAATAAAATAAGTTCCTGCTGAGCCTTGTCGTAATTTTCCAAATCGCTTTTCTAATGGATCTGTTGCAAAGTTGCCTAATAACACATACTAATGAGTTGTGTCTAAAAGATATTTTGACAGCTGAACCAAGCCATTACAGGTCTGAGCTAAACAATTAGCAGTAGCTTTAGTTAGTAACTTGATTCTTTTTCCTTTTTCTGTTTTTTTCATTTGTAATGCAAAATCACCAATTGCAAAAAGTTTGCTTAAATTTTCATCATCAGCAGAAAAAAATCTTTAGTACACCATGTTTCTTTTTTTTTCAAAAAAATTGTAAAACTTCTGATTAACTCTGTTACCATCACAGACAATAGCAACAACATTGCCTCCATTATTTTTAATTGCATCAAGAATCAGGGTTATCTGTTCGAATATAAATTCAGCATCAAGTTCTCTGACTGGTAACACTTTGTAAAGAAATTTTGGTCCATTAAACAACGTTACAACCAAAAAGCTCAGTACTGTGTTTGCTAGTAGATGAGGTTTGTTAAGTGATTTTCCAAATACTATGCCACCATGGTATTGTAACATGGGTTTAACATAAACCTAATCAAGAAGTAAAATGCATGTTTTTGGTCTTTCATCTTAATGGCTAGAAAAAATATGTTTGATGTAAGTGGTATCATCTAAAGACTTACATTTAGATGTAATTCTTCCTAAAGTGCGTAAACTTGGAAGTTCAAAATCCTTTCTGATGCGACTGTAGGCTGATCGTGAAAGACAAAAATAATCAAATGCTCGCACAATTGTTTCAATTGAATACTTTTTTTCCCTAATGCATGTTTTATTCATTGACAAAATTTGTTTTCTTTTTTGTGTGTTATTTCACAACAATTTAAGAACCTTAATGCTTCTTGGATATAAGAACATTTGTTCAAAATATAAACTCTGTTGGATGACAAAGTCATAACTCCACAATGGAATGCTGCAAAAGTGAAATCTTTATTTATGCGAAGAAGAAATCTAGGAATAGCACTTTCCATTAAAAAATCTGAAGACTGAATATATAATACATCATTGCACAAGTAATTGATAATAGCAAAATTAAATTCATTAGCTTTTAATTTTTCATATAAAACATTTATACTTTTTATCTTTTCGTGAAAATTAAGTATTGCTAACTCATCCTCTTCTTTCCAGCGAACACTATTAAGATTTTTTGATGTTTTTCTAAGTGGCACGGGTACAGTTGGGACTAAACTTAGTTTTATGCAACTAAATACTGATGGAGCATCATGACGTCTCAGCTTCCCATAATCACTAACAGTTAAATAACCAATGTCTTTCACATACTACAGTGTTATTAGTATCAGGAATATTATCTCTTGATATTATAGCAATCCAACGTTTTTGTTCTTCAATGTTTTTTGGATGTCAAAATGTTTTAACTCTATTCTGAGGATTATAACTACCATTGCAATTTGTTACACAACATCGACGAACCATTTTTAGAATACTTAAATAGATATGTCGCCTTATCTTTCACTTCTAAACTGATTCATTTCATTCAAAACTTGAAAGTTGGTTTGAATACTGACGGGTGTTTTGTAATCGTAAATTATATGCAAACTTTGAACTGATGCGTATATGTATATATTTATTCAACTTAAATTATATTATTTAAAATATAATATATAAAAATTAATTATTTTTATTTTAGCTAAAAATTTATTTTATATAATTACTATTACAAAAAACTACCCCTGTATTTATTTTGTATAACTGTTTTCGAGAATTTTCTAATTTTTCAAATTTAAAGCTATCTTGCCTCCAGTTTTTTACGCAAGTCGCGCGTTGGCAAGGCCTGTTATTTAGTAAGCCATGGGATGAACTCAAATCAAGAACAGAGAAATCAGGAGGTGGCATTGTTAATTAAGTCATAGTAATATTAAAGCCATCTTGTGTCAAGATTAAAGACATAAATGAAAATCAGGACTGCGAACAGATTCCGGTTCAAATATCTATCGGACAAGAACGAATCCTTGTTGGATGTATTTATTGACCTCCAAACGCATCTATTATTCTTCATATCAATAACTCTATTAAAACAGCCATCAACCTAATTAAAAAACATACAAAGGTCTACTGATCATTGGGGACTTCAATCATCCAGACATTAAATGGACTCATCTTGGTAGTCTGTGTATACTCAGAGGTAAACATGCTAGTTGTGAATTCATCCATCTTATGAACAACAACCTCCTGGTACAACACGTGCACGGACCAAATTTTGCAAGCAACACTCTAGATCTTGTCATCACTGAAAATCCTACAAAAACATTTTTAACTAGTATTGGTCCACCTCTGAGCTCTTCTAATCTTAACCATCTTCACTCAACTCTGACTTGGAACTATAATATCAGCACATATACTCATAAAACTAAAACGCTAACCAAAAAACCGAATTATAGACGAGGTAATTACATAAAAATTACTCAAAATCTTTAATCTTTAGATCAAAATTTTTTACAAATCTGAACATTGAGCAAACGGACTCAAAGTTTTGCCATGCTTACTCAAATGTAATTAAAATACACATTCCTATGTTCAAAGAACAAACAAAAATCCAACCTAAATGGTTTACCAACGATTTGAGAAATTTAACTAAACTTAAATACAAGCTCTGGTTTAAAATGCTCAGCTCAGCTGATAAATCCAATACTATTATAGAATTTAAACAAATCTCGAAAGAAGTTAAAAAAACTACAAAAAAAATCTCCTATCCAAATGCATGTCTAATCCCAAACTTTTGTACTCATGCTTATATGCTCAAACTAAAACAAAATCTTAAATCGAATCAATAAAACTCCAATCTGGCAAAGTTTTATTCAGTTTTCGATAAAAATTGTTTGAATATCAATCATCCATTCCCGATTTTCAAATCAAGAACATCTAACATCTTTAATCAATCTTTTCTCTTGATTTCGATAATTAATGCGCAGCTACAAAATCTTGACTCAAGCAAGACACCTTGAGAACATCCACCCTCAACCACTACACAAGTGTCATTCCAGCTTCTCTGAAGCTCTTTTGATCTTTCTTCAAATGATACTCTTCCCATTTCTTGGAAATCAGCCAACATCACTCCGATTTTCAAAAAAGAGAAAAACAAGTAGCTTCAAATTATCCACCAATCTCGCTCACATCTGTACCATACAAGATTATGAAATGCATAATTAAAGCAGTAATGATGAAGCACCTCATCAATAACAATCTTTTCAATTCGGCACAGCACGGCTTTGTTCCCAAAAAATCATGTTCAACGAATTTAATTGAATAAATTGACATTATCTCATAAGCGCTAAACGAAGGTAAGTAACAGATGTTATATTCTTAGATTTTGCCAAACCCTTTGATCTTGTCTATCACGACTCTCTTCTCCTTAAATATATATATATATATATATATATATATATATATATATATATATATATATATATATATATATATATATATATATATACATATATATATTATATATATATATATATATATATATATATATATATATATATATATATATATATATATATATATATATATATATATATATATATATATATATATATATATATATATATATATATATATATATATATATATATATATATATATATATATATATATATATATATATATATATATATATATATATATATATATACAGTACTGTGAATATATGGTTTAGACCACTTATATAATTAGTTGTATTTTCAATTTTTTTCCTGTGTATTTTTTTTTTTTTAAGCACACTAAAGTTGAGTAATATTTGAGAAAGGTTGAAAGAATATATTATCTTGAATAAATAAACAAAAATTTATGAGGAACACGAGGGATATGTTTGTTTATTTATTAAAACGATAATTGTCATAATAACTGCAGACCAAGCGTTTATCTAAATAATACATAAAAATAATATTTTCGATTTTTTTCTTACTGGTTCAGGTTCATATTCGTTCATTTAAGTTTTTAACAGTATAAAATGTAGTCATAGAGTGAATTTAATACAATAATAATCGGTTTTGGTACATTTTTTAAAAAGTTTTTTTTTTTATGAATACAGTTAAACAAATAGTTAAAAATAATTAAATAAAGCTATTAGTTTACATTTTTAGATTAATTAAGTGTTGCTATGGGTAAAATATCTTTAATAGAGAGACAGAAAGTTATTGTGCTTCACGAAGAAGGTTATTCGCAGCGTCAAATTTCTTCCAAAACAGGATATTCGAAGACTACTATTAGAGAAATCATTAAAAAGTTTAAAGAAACTGGCTCCCTTGAAAATAGAAAGAAAAGTGGCAGACCTCCTAAGCTAACAAAAGATGACAATAAATATTTAAAAACCCTTTCTTTAAGAAACAGGAAAAAAACATCCACCGAATTGGCAAAGGACATTAATACAGCAACTGGGAAAAATGTTAGCTCTTCTTGTATTCGACAACACCTACTCAAATCAGGATTACGAGGCTGCGTTGCTATTTGAAAACCTTTATTACGGCGTGGCAATAGAGAAAAACGACTTAAGTATGCAAAACAACACAAAGATTGGACCCAGGAAATGTTTAATCGGGTTCTGTACACTGATGAGTCCAAATTTGAAATTTTTGGAACAAAAAGACGTCAATATGTTCAAAGAAGAATAGGAGAAGCCTATCAGCCCGAGTGTTTAAACTCTACTATAAAACACGGAGGAGGGTCTTTACAAGTTTGGAGCTGTTTATCTTCATCTGGGGTAGGTGATCTGATCAAAATAGAGGGACGACTCACGGGGAACGTTATGTGGATATTCTAAGACAGCATGCTATACCAACCGGAATGAGACTAATGGGCCATAATTTTATTCTGCAGCAGGACAATGACCCAAAACATTGTTCCCGAGTGGCAAAATATTATTTAAATGAAATGGCAGAAGAAGGAATACTGGAAATGATGACCTGGCCTCCCCAGAGTCCAGATTTGAATATAATCGAGTATATTTGGAATTACTTGGACAGGAAAAAGGACGAACATGCTCCCCGAAATGCTGAAGAATATTTTCAACTACTTCAAAGAGAATGGCACAACATACCGCAGGATTTTATAACAAATTTGTATGAATCTATTTCCCGGCGAATATCGGCTGTGATTAAGGCAAAAGGAGGACATAGTAAATATTAAGGGTTTTTTTATGAAGTGTGACATTAAAAAGTTTGTTATTGTTCTATATTTTGTGTGAAATATATGTTTTTTAATAATTTTATAATATAGAATTCGAAACTTAAATATTAAGGAAGAATTCTCTTGGATTTATTTAGTGGTCTAAAACATATTCACAGTACTGTATATATATATACATATACATATATATATATATATATATATATATATATATATATATATATATATATATATATATATATATATATATATATATATATATATATATATATATAGGGGGGTGGGGTGTCTTGGGGTGGGTGGAAAATTACCGCATGAGAATAGTATCAAATAGTAGTAATTTTAATATATAATACTATTTTTAAATATAAAAAATAACAGAATTAGTAAGACTTACCATAAATATGAATCAAAGATATGTTTTCTGTGTTGGAACTTTTCAAATTTGCTAAATATGTCAACAAAATGTTTCTTCTTTTATTAGATAATCCATAGATCATTGGTAAACAACTTTCTAACTTTTTATTAGCCATAATCTCTTTACTACTAAAACTATTATATGCATAAACAGATGCACAGAACTCCATTATTGTTAAATGTGCAAACTGAAACTGTATGCCATAATTTGTTTCAATTTTTTCAATAAAGCCAAAAAGTTGATCTTCAATTTTATCAAAGTCATTGAAAAAAACTTTAATTTCTTCTTTAGAAAAAATGACTTTATTTTCAATAAAGGCTTCATAAGCAATTTTGCAAATATTTAGAATATATTGTTTATTACTCTCATTTTTAATCATGTCATAAACTGACTCGTCGTTTTTATTTATATGTTTTTGCAAAAAGTATAAAAAAATATTTGCATACAAATCTGTTAAAGTTAAGAAGGAACAGCCTTTATTTTTTGATTCAGAAATAATTTTACACATAGACGATAAATAAAATGGAACATTTGCCATAGCTTTTGCAATATGTGACTCATTTAAAACTGATTTTATAATTTGTTTTTTTTCTTCAACAACATTATTTTCTATATAATCATTTATTCCATCATCATTAAATCCCATAATTTGAATATTTAATATTTCATTATTTTCACTATGTATTCTTCGGTATTTATCAATAGCAAATCCTCTTCCAGCTATTACAGATTTGTATTTTTGAATTTCAGATATAACATTGACAATAGGGTAGTTACAATTAGACCTGTTATTTATTAATTGGTCTAAATATTTAAACTCATCTAAACCATCAATTATGAACATTATGGTGTGATTATGTAAGTCAAAATTTGTTAAAATATCTCCATAGAAAACATGAAGTAATTCGTTTATATTAGAAATACTTTGGTATTGATTAAGTCTTCGACATTCCAAATAAAACAAAACATCAATATTTTTCCATATTAGACCATTTGACCAATCAAGCAAGCATTTTCTGAGCAACCATGTTTTGCCAATACCAGCTATTCCTGAAATTAATATTACTGACTTTTCATTCGTAATAATTTTTTTATATGGTATTGGTGTGTAATTTATTTGTTTATTAAATTTTTTTTGTTGTTCGTCAATAAAAACAGCATCCATTTGAGTATTAACCGCATCAACAATGCACAGATTAACATATTTGTGTAACAAATCAACTTTTAATGGTGATTTTAGTGATGGTTGAAGCTCATTAATTTTTTCGTAATTTTGAATATAAAATTTTTTCAGTGAAACAGACACATCTAATTTGTCTAAATACAATTTATAAGAATTAATGACAATAAACCTCCTCCTCCTTACCATTACCACCACCACCACCACCACCACCACTACCACCACCACCACCACCACCACCACCATCATCATCATCATCATCATTATCCATATTATTATAGGTTCATATTAAGATTAAAAGAACCTTAAATATTCAATATAATAAAAATATATAAACAAATTCAAATATTTAACTTAATTTTAAATTTAATCTTATGCTTAAATATTAATATTAAATAACAAAAATCTTTTATAAAGAAATAAAATAATTTTTGACAATATTTTGAAAATTGGTAATTATAAATAAATAAGTTTTTTAAAACAAATTTTAATTTTATGTTTTTATTATTTTAAAAATTATTTATAATTAAAAATAATTACATTTTTTAAAAACAAATTCTAATATTAAATATTTTTATTATTTTGAAAAACTTTTTTTTTTAAGGATTTTTATTATTTAACTTTCAAATAAAAGTGAAATAAATCCTGATCAAGTCTCGCTTGTAAAAGCTGCTCAAGAAGTTGATTTTTTCTTTAATCACTCGATTATAGAAAAAAAAAAAGACGTTTTTAATTACTGGAAACATGAAGAGAAGTTTCCACTTCTAAAAGAGTTAGCTCTTAAATTATTAGCACCTCCAGCATCCTCTGTATTTTCTCCTAAATAAAATTTAATTCACCATCAAATAAAACACTCGCATTTCTTTCCAATAACAATTAATTTATGAAGAATTTATAAAAATTGGGGAAGCTAAAACTTCTTAGATTTGGTAAGCAACTTGAAAAGAAAAACTTTAGCAAATTTTTTTAGCAAATAGAACCAGTTTAGAGGTAAAATTGGAGCCAAGGAAATAAAATTAGAAAAATTAAAAATTAATTTCAGATATTCAAAATTTTTTAAGATATCAATGGTATTAAATTGTACCATTTTTCAAATGAAATTCAATAAAAAGAGTATGAAATATTCAAGAGATGTTTAATTATGGACCTTAAAACAAATATTAGAAATAAAGCAACCAATGATTGGATCAAATGAAATAGTAAATTCTACTAAAACAATTGAATCTTAAAGTTAACTTTATGAAACATTTTTTATGAAATGACAAAATGTGATTTATAATACTCACTGGTTATAACCAACTACAGCAAATATAATAACAATAATAATAATGATAATGCATTAAAAAAAAAATTAAAAATTTAAATTTATAAATTAGAAAAAAACATTTTTTTTCGTTTAGTTTTTTACATAACTTTTTTTAATAACCAAATAAAAATTTTAAATTTTCTTAAAATTTAAACTCAAAAATAAAATCTCACCCTTTTTAAACTTATTTATTGCTTGATTAGACAGATCAATAGCCATAGTTTCATATCTAAACAAAACAATTTTTATAAAGTGATCACAAGAAAATACTTTAATAAAAATAATATGAAAGTTAAAATCAACCTAACAACAGGTTTGCATGCCATCAGCTTATTGTTGAAATCAGCTTATTCCTAACTTATTACTTTTATCACTAAAATTTATAGAGCTAAGTAGATTTTGATGTAAACATTTAAATGCTAAACAAAGATTAAATAGTAACTAAAGAAATTTTTTGAATTGTTTAATTTCTAACCTGTCGTATGTCCAAAAACTTATTAAAAAAAATTTAGTTAATTTTAAAAATTTTAATTTAATTAAAACCTACTTTTTCAAGTTTAAAACGCAAATTTATTTTAATGTAAATTTCACAAAATTTGAAATGCAATTTTTCAGATTTGAAAACTTGAATCTATAATGGTTTATATAAATGTTTAGTTTTTTGCTAAACTGCAGATGATTCGAAAATAACATGTAAACAAGTAAGAAATAAAAATAATTACCATTGTAAGTTAAAATTAAAAAACAAATTTAAAGTTAATTTTGAAAAAATGTTAAAATGCTTTTCAAAAATAATTTTAATTTTGTTTTAATAATATATTAACCCTTTGAGGTCTTTAAAAAAAAAAATTATTTACCTATCAGGTCCAAATTTTTTTATTTATTTATTGACAATATAACAGAATAAATATGTCTGTCCAAAGGCTTCTTTTTATTTTTCATAAAAAATAAGTTTTGAGTGTAGCAGCTAATTGTTTTTTAGTCGTTTTGAGAACATTTAAATTTATATGTTTCCCTAATTAAGCTCATTATTTTATCGTAAATTTTAAAATATTTTGTTTTACGGACATACATGGAAACATGTATAATTTCGACATCTTAGTGGGGAAAATAAAAAAAGAATATTTGCTAATACAAAACCCGCCAAATCTACGAACAACTAATTCTATTGGTTCAAAAAATACTAACCAAAATTTCTAGAGTATTCCGTTGAAATATTTTAAATAATTGTATTATTTGATTTTTGTTATGTTTTCGTTGAGATTTCTAGCATAAATTGTTCTAAGAATATCAAACAAACTATTATTTTAATTCTCGGAGCCACATCTACAAAGCTATAAATGTTTTAAACTAACATTATTTGTTTACAATAAATAAATGTTTTAAATTTATCTTTTCTAACTTGTCAACGTTTTGTAAATATATTATAGATTTTATTAGTATATTCTTATTTTATATAAGGGATGTATTTTGTATGTATGTAATGTATTTTTATGTATGTATTTTTTAATGTGAATTAAATTTTATGTAGGTGTATTTTATTCATATGTAATCTTTTAAAGCAATTTGTGCGATTGATTTTGTAAACAAAAATACTTTCAATATTAACTGCGTTTTTAATGAAATTATTAATAATCATCAAAGTTAATACAAGTAATTTTAACCACTTATCAATTTTCCTCAGTGCACACGATAACTGATTCTTTCCCCCAAGAAAGAAAAGTCTTAGAAATTGGTTTACTAACTTCAATTATTTTTGCTTCAGCCATTCTTACAAACTCGTTATACTTAAACTTAAAATTACTTTTTTCTTAAAATTATAAAACCCACTCATTAAACATCTTCAGCGTTATTGTGAAGCAATTCCGCTTCCTCCTCACATAGTAATTTAACGTTTTTAGTTAATTTCAATTTAGTTAATCGAATTTCTACAGTAACTCAATGATTTAATTATTTATTTGTTCATCTTACTAAGAAAAATTGTTTCGAATGTGTAAAACTTTTTAAACTACGTGAAGCATAAAACAGTTATCGAAAAAACTTTTTTATTTATAAATAAATCATCTAGCGTTAGTTTTATTGGTTGAATCTTGGACTTTAGAGGGCCGGGGACTGCATTATTTTGGCGGCCTTTTTTATGTACCACAGCGTAAAAATGATTGAAAAAAATACCGAATGGATCTCTTGACTATTTCGCAGCCCTCAACATTGCGAGTCTCGAGGCTATAGCCCTTCTACTTCCTCCCCCCCCCTACCTCCTCAATTCAGCACTGGAATTAAGACATAAATATATAAACAAAAATTATATATACTCTTTGATAAATAGAAGAACATTTGTTTCCTAATTAAACAATCATTAATAGTAAGTTGTTGCTTTATACAAAAAATGTCATTTAATTTTATAAAAAAAGAACGACGTTTCAAAAAGTGTTTACTTTGCTTAAAGTTTTTTCGCCTGTTTTTTAATCTCTTTTTTGAAGTCTCTCATCGGTCCAGTTAATCTTATTGCGCTTTTTTGTTTGTTTTTGAAATGTTCTCAAAACGACTTAAAAACCTGGCCAGCTTTTCGCAACTAAATATTATTTCCGTGGTCAATTATCGAGTGCGATTGCACCCGCTTCCCGACCAAGCCTGCTTTTATCTATTGCAATGTTACAAGATGGGACAAAATTTGTAGAACAGAAACTTTTCATTTCTGATACAACACAATGCATTTTCCTTGCACGTCTATTCAACTCATTAGATGGATTTTATGGTGGGGATACGTGCAGCATCCAATGTATCTGAAGAAACCGAGTTCGAGAGAAAACTGCTGAAAAAAATGTCATGTTGTTCAGCCAATCACAAAAAAAATAATGTTTTATACTTGATTTTTCATTTAGAGCCATATTCAAAATAGTACCAAAGTAAACATGAATTTCTTCCAGCGTCACATCTTTCCACTTATAAAAAATAGAATGAGATTCCAAATTGTTATTTTCAATTTTTGACTTATAATAACGATTAGTTTCGGTTACAATATTTGCAACTAACTCATCAGTAAAAAATAACTTGAAAAAATCTAGTTCACGTGTTAAGTTTATTGAATGCTGAGGACCTACTTTTGCTACCGTGGATGGCAATGCTTCAAATACTGGAGTATCTTGCACTACTTTTGTCCATTCTATGTTCAAAGGTCCATTATCATCAATTTCATTTAATTCCTCTGACTCTGATATCTCTGAGAATTCAGTCTCAGATTCACTAAAAGTGTACTCACTGTTGCTTTCAGTACTTGTTTTATCCAATGCCTTCAATAATTCTTCAGTTGTATAACATTTCCTTGCCATTTGTAAATAAATTTTTATAAAAATTTCTAAGAGTATAAGTAAGGTTAGACAATTAAAAAATGGTACTAAAAAGCACTAAGTTGAAAACACACTATAATATTACCAATTGAACCTGTAAATTGTCCAGGTTAGCTTAAAAAGGTAATTTTTTTTGTATAAACATCAACATAGTAGATGTCCCGTGGCACGGGACATTAGACCGCAACAACAGTTTTATTATGTCTTGTCACGCAGAAAATTAGACCGCTAAGGGTTTGTTATAAATAAAACAAATGCATCAAAATGCAAAACCTGTATTTATACTTTTTGTACATAAAAAAATGGTATTTAAACTAGGCTGGAAAAAAAAAAAAGGCTGAAAGTGGGTCCATACCACTGCATTGGTAAGTCTAGAGCTTATTTAAAGAACTTATTTGATATTCCATGAGCAATAAATATAGCAAAACTTGAAAAAAAAAAAAAATTTACAAATAGTTATAACAAATCCAAATAGTTCAAAAGCTTTTATTAAGGTAATTGGTTAAGCAAAGCATTACCATTGTTCTTAAAACTTTTAGAAATTTTTAGAAAAATCTAAAAAGAAGAAAATCTCAAGACCATAATTATTTCCAAAGTTGTTGTAGAAATGTTTTTTAAATATAACACAAAAAACTAGCCCTCCATTTAACTTCATGTGTACTGTTAAACGTTAAGTGCATTGTTCAACTTCTGTAAAATTAATTTATAGTTAGATAACTCATTTCATGAAGTATCCCTATCGATAGAAGTATCCCTATCAATAGAAGTATCCCTATTGAGTTTCTTACTTTAAAACTTCATAATCACAGCTTGATAAGTTGATATAAAATATCAAAGAATGAAATTATTAACAAAAGAATTAAAAGTCAAAATTAAATAAAAATTAGTAAACAAAACCGGTAATAATCTAAAACTTTAAAAATTGAAAAAATATTAGAGAAGATACTTGACTTTAACAACAAAAATTAGAGGAGACACTTGACTTTAACCGTAATATGGTCAACATTCCTATATTAATGAATGGCAATCCTCTTACTTAGTCCTCCTCTTTACGTCTTCTTGGATTATCGCTTACTACTGATCTTTCATGGAAACCATATATACAATTGATTGCAAAATTAGCTTCTGCTAAGGTTGCTTCTCTTTATCGTGCTTGCCATTTCCTTACTTCTGATTCCATTCTCTACCTCTACAAATCTCTTATTCGCCCCTGTATGGAATATTGTTGTCATATTTGGGCTGGTTCTTCTAACGATTCACTTTCTCTTCTTGACAAGGTCCAAAAACGCATTGTAAATGTTGTTGGACCTGGACTATATGCTAAGCTTAAGCCTCTTTTCCATCGTCATAAAGTTACATCTCTTTCTCTTTTCTACAAATACTATCATGGTCACTGCTCAAAGGAGTTATCATCTCTAGTTCCATTAACTAAAGTTCATTCTCGTTTTACTCGTTATTCAGCTAAGTCTAATTTGTTTACTGTATCGATCCCCACCACGTCCCTGGTAGTACCGCGCTTAACTCGTTTCTCCGCGCAGCGGTCTTGTTCGTCAAGGTTCGTGTTTCGGAGTTATAGAGTTGAGAGAGGGTTATAGCCACAAAATAAGTAGCCTCCTCGTCTGTAGTGGCCTTCTCGGCCTTGAGGAGGTGAAGTAAAATAAAAAAAAAAAAAAAAAAAAAAAATCTGTCCCTGCATGCTCTAAAAACTTTTATTCATCTAGTTTTTTTCCCCGCACTTCAATCCTTTGGAACTCTCTCCCATCTTCATGTTTTCCTGACTCATACAACCTTTAACTTTTCAAGTTTTCTGTCAACCGTTTCCTTGTTCTATAACTTTGTTCTTTTTTTTTCTTAGCAACTCCCAACTTAATAGTGGTTGCTTGCAGCCTTGTTGGGAGTAAATTCAAATAAAAATAAAAAAACACTAAAAATTAAAAAAAAAATACTTAACTTAAACAATAAAAATTAGAAAAAACACTTGACTTAACAACAATAATTAGAGAAGACACTTTTTAACAACAAAAGTAAAAGAAGACACTTGACTTTAACAAGAATAAGTTAAAGAAGTTACTTGAAGATACTTAAAGAAAAAAAAAATGTTAAAAGAACCCCTTCCATAGACAAATGAGTACTGCAACTAAAAATGTGGCAACAAATATTAAACAAATACTATCATTACGAAAAACTGATGGTCAAAAGAATTGGACAGTCAAAGCTACCATAAGGTTTTAAAAGGAAGGAGAGAGAAATTAAAACATTAGAAGATCAAAAACAAACCAAAACTTGCATACTCTAAGATAAAAAAAGAATTCAATAGACTAACAAATCAGAAGTGATTCCTCCACCAAATTAACACATATGAACTCAATTTAACTTTTATGTCATTAGTGAAACGAGTTGTCTAACTATAATTTAGTTTTACAGTTGAACATTGTACATGAATTTGAATGAAACTTGAACAGTTTACTTGAAGTTGAACGGAAGTTGAACAGTGCATATGAAGTTGAACAGTACACATAAAGTTGTAATTTATTTTAATACAAATATTAAAATAAATTACACAATAGAAATATTAATATGTATTACACAATAGAAATATTAAAATAAATTACACAATAGAAATATTAAAATATATTACACAATAGAAATATTAATATGTATTACACAATAAAAATATTAAAATATATAAAAACAAAAAATAAAAATCTATTTCTATTAAATTTTAAAATGAGAAAAACCTTTTGTTATGAGTTAAACTTTTGTTGTTGCGTTTATATATTTCTATATGTTATAAGTTTCTATTTAAAAAATATTACTTACATGAAGTCGTTTTCATGGAAAATTTTAAACTGTAACTTTTCCTTATATTTTTCAAAGTCATTATCGTTTCCACAATCAATAAACTCTTTGCTATTCTCATTTATGATGAAGAAACCATCTGTTGATTTTTTATCTTCTTTATTGCATACTGCAACTATGATATTTTCAACAATGTCTTCTGACCAATAACTCAACACATTTCCAATAGTTTCATTTTTATTTAGAGGTGCTTCTTTATCATTGCAACTTAAAACTAATATTGTTAAATGTGAATTTGATCTTGACATGGCATCTACAAGAATATGCCGAAGATAAACCTCTTGTGGACTCACAAACACAATTACAGATTCTGATTCTGCTCCTGAAAACCCTTTGCAATCAGTTACAAGAATGTCTAAGTCATTTTTTAATTTCATTTTAACTTTAGCTTTTGCTTCAAATGTAGGGGAGTATTTCTGCAAATGTGGTGAATAAGTTACTGCTTTAAAATTTTGAATTAAATCTATCGCATATGCAACAGATTGTACCTCTTCCATGTTGTTACATATAACCACAGTTCTTTTTAATGTGTTAAAACAAAGATTCTCTAACACAATAGACAAGAATTTTACAGATTGTTTTTCTGTTACATCGTGAAAAGGTAAATATATGACCTTGGGTTTTTCTCCTATAATAGAGTGTCCTATATTACCAGACTTAAAAACATATTTAGTTTCCATATAACTATTTGGATCATTATTATTATCTGTATTTTTTGTTATTATCTTTGCCATGAAATCCAAATCATTGTCATAAAAATCATTAACAGACTTAATATTGTTTTCCATTCTCTTTAAAGATTGATTTGGATTAGAGTTTGTAAATTTATCAGTTTTATCATTTGTAATATTTGTTATTTTCTTATGCCCATAATTAAAAAAATTTTTGTAAAAATTTTTGACAGATGTGTAACTATTATCTTGTACCTTGAATGTGTCATTTACATCATTATGTGATGTGTCATTTACATCATAATGTAATGTGTCATTTACATCATTATGCAATGTGCCATTTATATTATTATGAGATGTGTCATTTAAATCATTATGTGTTGTGTCATTTAAATCATTTTGTGATGTATATTTAGCTTTAATTTCATGGTTGATATGGTTTTCATGATTTTCGATGAGATTGAATATGTTGAGAATATCTAACGATTTACTTGTATCAGTTTTAGTTTTAAAGTCATCTCTAGAATCAACTGTCAACAAGCAACTTTGCTGCAGTTGAACCTGCAAATCTTTACCATCAAACAACTTCTTTTTTTCAATTTTTTGTAATGTTCCAAAAATGTTTGTGTTTGGGAAGTTTGTAACATTTTTTGTTTTACAAATAGCTTTTTGAGTAGTATCTATTAATAACTGATTGCACAGGGTAACTCTCATTGATTTACTTAGTGATAAGACCTTCATTCCTATTATTTCTTCTTGAAAGCAATTTCTTTGTAGTGTATGCTTTTGTTTATTTGTTACAAATTTTCGATTCTTTGTAATGCTCTCAGGAATAAAAACAACTAAAGACTCTTTTAAAACAGATGTAAATAAATGTTTAATTAGAATTGCATCTTCTATTTTAAGATACTCCTCAGAAAGCTCTTCGAGGACAAAATCTACTTTATTACTGTTTGAGTTAGCCAAATACTCTAGTAATTTTGGAAGAAAAATAGTCTTTTTAAAAATATTTTTTTTCTGACACATGTTTTTCCACAAATTATACAAATTGTCACAAACAACTGTAACATTGGAAGTTTTCTCTATACTGTCAACAAACTCCTTCATATGGCATTCATACAAAGAGAAATGATTACAACATATATAATACAATGTAAAAGAATTTTCTGACTTACGTGTTATACAATTTTTAACTATCTCCTTTCCCACTATAGATTTTCCGGAACCATATCCTCCTGTGATAATTTTTTTCAGTGCTTTGTCATTAATTGCATTCCTTTGTTCAACATTAAGAATCAATGATTGTATCTGTTTTTGAGTATCAGATTCTAATGTTGGAAAACAATGATCAACTTTAGCCATAGACATCATAGTTAAGCTGATGAGTTTTTTAAACAGCATTTCATTTTTATTTTGCATGTTTACTTTTTTAATGCAGTATGCAATAACTGATCTCCACCAACTTTCAAAATTCTCATCTTCGATGTCATCTTTACATAAAAATAAAATTTGATCTAAATCAAAACTTTCAGAGAAATAAAAAAATAATTCTTTCTTTAATTGTTTACGATTGTGTAAAGGTAAAACTACAATTCCCAAAATATTCATTTTATAAGTCTCAATAAGAGGATTGCTAACATTAACAAATAATATAACATCATTTAAGCAGTGTTCAGATTCCAGCTTGATGCAATCCATTGAATTAGCAACACGAGCAATTATAACAAGGTTGAGCTCAGAGCAAAAAATTGTTATTCTATTTTTATCATTATAGTTAGTAAATTTTTCAACATTACACTTTAAAAGGGATGCATGATAACGTAAACGATAACCAGGTAATACAGCACGTATGCCTGTTCTATTTACAGTAAATAAGTCAATAAACTTGGAAACAAATGAAAACCTATTGATGTCTGCAATTGAAGGAGAAACATAAATAACTTCATTACAATCTGGAAAATTTCTATTAAAATAATCTAATGCACACAATTCTATCGATTTATCATGAGGTAATTTATTTAAATGAGTGTTGTTAGTCTCTCTCCAATCAAGAGAACTTATATTTCTTATATTTATGTTGAACTCATTGTTAAATATTGGTTCAGGTGTTGCAATCATCAACCCATTATAAGTAAGTTCATAGTTGCAATTGCCTAAATGAAAACAATGTAAAATAAAAACAACTTGAAAAAAATATTTAAAATACAAATAAATTACACAAATTTATACAAGTAATTTATACAAAAAACAATTCAATAGCATTATTTATCCTTAATTATCAAAATAATAATGTTTAACTAGACAAATTTTCAATCAGATATTTGGATGGAAAAATATTTAGAATAAAAAATTGCATTATTACATATTTAAAAATTTCAGAATTCTTTTAAACCATTTTTGTGTGATAAAGTGATAAAGACTACAGTCTTGTTTTTTGCATCAATGTAAATTGTAAAACACATTTTTCACATTTAATAGTTATTATAACTTATTTATCATTTTTAATACAGTAACGTTAGAATAAGTAAATTTTTAAAAAAGTAACGTTAGAATAAGTAAATTTGAATTAACGTTAGAAGTCTTGTGACAGATATGTCTGTAAAGTCTTGTGACAGATATGTCTATAAAGTCTTGTGAGTTTATTTGAATAATACAATAAGGATTTTTCAGCTAACTTGTCTTAGTATCCTTACTAATCTGATTGGTTATAAAACTAAACTTTCCTCATTAGCTTATCAATTTCACTATGTGTATGGTCCATTTCCTGGATGCATGATTAACCTGGAAGAATTTTATAGAAATTGAATTACTGCTAGTATTGTCTCTTAAAAAAGGTGCCACAGCCTTTGATATTGTTAGCTAGATCCTTCTTGATCCATAGAAGAAAAACAATACTTACATGGTTAAGTAAAGTTCGGTATATAATAGTAAATTATAGGCCTAGTATTAGATTCAAAATCACTTTGAAGAAGCAAAAAGAAACCACAAATAAAAACATTTAACAAAAAATGTACAAAAATTTAGAGGAGGTTGATTGTTCCAAAAACAAAACAGCTGTATTAATTGTTAGTCACTGAGTCAGCATCGCTTGTTTGTTATAGATTCATATCTATTACAGTGTTGTTTTCAGTCTATTCCAAATAAACATTATTTGGCATTGCCTCCAGCAGGTTCTTTTACAATATCTTTTTGAGACATACCATTAAGGAGACTTTTAAACAGACGATGGCAAAATGTACGTACATCATTTAACAGTAAGTTTGTAAGTAAGTTTGCTTTTTTTAGGCAAAGGCTAAGAGAAGCCAACTTTATCTTAAAACACCCCATGTCTTGGTTAAGTAAAGGCTAGAGATGGTGTTTCAATATAAATACTCATCTTTTAGAAGGCCTCACAGGCAATGACTTAAGGGGTAAACAGATTCTATTTGTTAACCAGCCATTTTCTAACATCTTTGCTTCCAACAAGGCTGCAAGCAACCACTATTAGAGTTGGAAGTTACTAGAAGAGAAAAAATGAAGTTTATAGAGCAAGATAACGATTGACAGAGAACTTATAGATTGCAACTTATATGAATCAGGAAAGCAAGATGAAGGAAGCAAATTCTAAAAAACTGATGTTCGAGAAAAAAAACTAGATGAATAAGAGTTTTTGGAGTACTTAGGAACAGTCACAAAAAAAGGATGAAACTTAATTGAATGACGAGTAACACAAGAATAAATTTTAGTAGATGGCACAAGAGACTTCTCTTTGGAACAGTACCCGTTATAGTATTTGTAGAAAAGAGAAAGAGAAGCAACATTACGACGATGTGATAATGGTTAAAGGTTGGCTGCAAGAGCAGGTCCAACTATGTTTACAATGCGTTTTTGTACCTTGTCTAAAAAAGAAAAAGGCATCATTCAAAGATCTGCCTTAGATATGGCAACAGTATTCCTTACAAGGACAGATTTGAGATTTATAAAGATAAAGAATAGAATTCAGAGTAAGTGTCAAGCATGATAAAAAGATGCAACCTTAACAGATGCTAATTTTGCAATGGATTTGATATATGGTTTCCAAGATAGATCAGAAGTAAGAGTTAATCCTAGAAGATGAAGGGTAGACTCGTTGAATACATCACTCTTCATAAATATAGGAAGATCTAAAATATTGTGGTAAAGATTGGCTGAAAAAAAATGGGTCTTATCTGAATTAAAGTTCACCAGCCACTGTGAGCCCCATGCTGTAGCAGAAGTGAGATCCTTTTCAAGCTCAAATGCCCTCTCTAAGCAATCAGAAAGTGTTGGCTTCTTATCAAAACAAGAATTAATGGTAGTATCATCAGCGAACAATAACACCTTAGATGTGAGAATATCTGGAAGATCATTAATGTAAATTAAAAAGAGTATAGGGCCAAGAATAGAACCTTGAGGAAACCCTGAAGTTACAGGATATGAAGAAAAGTGCTGTCCATCAGAACAGCACTTTTCTTTATATCCTGGAAGGATTCAATGTTTTTTCATATCCTGGTAAGGAAGGATTCAATAGTCTTAAAGAGGTTACTTGATACACCGTAAAAAAAAAGCTTATGGAGAAGACCAGCATGCCAAACTTTATCAAAAGCTTTAGAAATTTCAAGAGCGATAGCCTTAACCTCTCCACCTTAATCTAATGCGCGATTCTATTAAGCTGTTAAGATTTATTCTATTATATCTATTACAGAATAATAGAATCTTAACAGTAAAAAACAAAAAAACCATTGTCATCACCAAGTTCTCTATCATACACTAATATCTTATCTCTTGCAAATTTACCAGACCTACTTGTTCCTTGAGAGACTAATTTGAGTTCAGCTGTCTCATCTTGTGATTTTGGTATTGATAGTTATCTTCCTCTAACTATATATGCGGTAGTGGTGTAGTGGTAAGAGCGCTCGCTTTGTAAGCGAGAGGTTTGGAGTTCGACTCCCACCATGCCCCTGGAAGTACCGCGCTTAACTTAATTTTTCTGCGCAGCGGCCTTGCTCGTCAAGGTACGTGTTTCGGAGTTAAAGAGTTGAGAGAGGGTTGTACCACAATTTACAACAAAAAAAAATAATAATAATAAAAAAATAAAAACAGAAAAAAGAAAAAAAAATGAGTAGCTTCCTCGACTGTAGTGGCCCCTTCGGGCCTTGGGGAGGTGAATAATTAAAAAAAAAAAAAAAAACTCATGAAGACTCCAATAGTCACATTTTTTTAAAAGTTGATTTCAATTCACCTCCCTAAGGCCATGAAAACCTCTATAATCGAGAAGCCTACTTTAGTTGTGGTTACAACCCTTTCTTAACTCTATAACTCTGAAACACGAACCTTGACAAAAAGGTTGCTGCGCTGAGAAACAATTTGAGCATGGTAATATCAGGGCGAGGTGGAGATTGAACTTGAAACTTCTTGCTTATGAGGCAAGCGCTCCACCACTACCATTATATAGTCACATACTTGGCCTAGGTATTTACATTTGTAAAAATTCACCCATTTATAGGGAAACTAGGTTTGAATCTACTGACTATTCTTTATTGTGATTTCATTTAGCACCACTTCACTCTGTTACCTTTCTCGTTGTTCTATATCGCTCTCCTTCATCTTAAGACTGCACTCTTTTCGATGTTATTTCTGATCAAATTGGCCATGCACTTTCTTTTTATTCTTTATTGTTGTTTATCATTTACCTTCTCTACTCAACTTGTATCTTATTTCTGATCTTAGTCAGTACTGGGTTTCTCCACATTCACCCAGAGGAGTTTGTGATTACGGTTTGATCTCTCTAAAACTAATATGTCATTCTTCTTCATCATCAGAATCCCCCTATCATCACACCTCTTACAACTAGCTTAAAGCTAACTGGGTGATTTTTGTTGTGATGACCCTTGGGTAGAAGTATTTTGTCGTCCTGCTGACAGTTGTGCTTCTTACATAACTTCTTGGATTCAGGCTGGCATGGAAATCTTTTATTCCCTCTCAACAATTTTCAAAAAAAAAATCAAGCCTCACTATTTTCCATGGTTTTCCTCACATTGTGCTGCTGCAATTTCCCATCGAAACTATTACTTCCATATCTATCAGCAAAACAATTCTCCAAAAAACAGGCATCTGTTTACTATTGCAAGAAACCATTGAAAAAATGTTTTATCTAATGCCAAAGCCCGCTATTCTCAGATTGTGAATTCTCTTATATCACCTCAAAAATTAGGCTCTCGTGACTTGTGTGACTGGAAAATCTTTAACAGTATTTATAATAAGGGCAAATCTGTTTTTCCACCTCTCTTGTATGGTTCAGATTTTGTCATCTCATCTAAAGACAAAGCTAAATTATTTGCTAAGAATTTCTCATCATTATCATCTCTTGATTCCACTAGTTGTGTTCTACCTGGAATAGCCGACAAACACATTGATCCATTGCTTGACATTCATATCACTCCTGCTTCTGTTTTTATTAATTAATTACTCGACTCTTCTACAGCTTGTGATTTGCATTAGAGCTTTTGTGTGTCGCTCTCGAACTTCTAAAACTTTTGATAAAGTTTAGCATATTGATCTTTTCCATATGCTTTCTTCTTACAGTGTATCAGGTAACATCTTTAAGATTATTAAATTCTTCCTTATTAATTATAGTATAAGGTTGGCCTCAATGGACAGCACTCTTTTACATACCCTATAACTTCAGGGGTTCTATTCTTGGCCCTATACTCTTTTTAATATACATTAACAATCTCCCAGAAATTCTCATATCTAAGGATATGACTCCATGAGTCATCTACCTATATTCTAGGACTAAATCTTACTTCTAATCATTCTTGAAAACCATATATCAAATCCATTGCAAAATTAGCATCAGCAAAGTTTGCATTTCTTTATTGTGCTCCCCACTTTCTTCCTTTGTATTCAGTTCTTTATCTCTATAAATCTTAAATCCGTCCTTGTACGGAACAGTTGCCATATCTGGAGTGGATCTTCAAATCATGCCCTTTCTTATTTAGACGAGGTGGAAAAAACGCATTGTAAACATAATTGGACCTGCTCTTGCAGCCAATCTTTAACCATTACTACAACATCATAAAATTGCTTCTCTTTCTTTTCTATAAATACTATAAAGGGCACTGCTCTAAAGCGCTAGCGTCTTTTGTGCCATTAACAAAAATTCATTTTTGTGTTACTTATCAAACAATTACTGTGACTACAGTGCTTCAAAAATTCTTATTTGTCTAGTTTTTTTCCTAAAACATCACGGAATTTGCTCCAATCATCTTGTTTTGCCAATGCATATAATTTGCAATTTTTTAAGTCATGTGTTAATCGTTATCTTGCTCTATAAACTTCATCTTTTCTCTCCTCTAATAGTGGTCTACTTAGAAGTGAAGATGTTTTAAAAAAAAAAAAAAGATTTATATTTTTAATTTTATTTCTTTAACTTTTTTATCCTTTATTTTATTATTTTTAACTCAATTTCTTAATAAATCTATTTTATATTTTATATAACACCTGACCCGATTAAATCTGGACAAAAAGAAAAAATTTAATAACTTTTTAACAGATAAAGATTTTTTATTTCAAAAAAAAGATAATTATAGATAAAAAATATTATCATTCAAATAAAAAAAAAATTATAAGTTTTGGATTCCGTTTCGCCGAGCTGCATCAACTCGAGTAAAAGACAATCTTCCAAATCGTTGTACTATATCAGGATCTAGGTTTTTAAAGCAGTAGTCAATTCTTTTACGAAGTTGTTATAAATTTTCAGCTTGCCAGCATTTAGCATAAACTGTTCATTTGATTTCACTCCAAAAATCTTTGATTGGTCTAAGTTCTGGAGTGTTAGCAATATTTCTCTCTTTTGGTACAAATTCGATGTTTTTTGAATTTAAGAACTTTTTTTGAATAATGTGACAATGCTAAATCAGGCCAGTAGATTACATTATCATTTTTATGGTACTGTTCAATGAATGGAATTAATCTAGATCTTAAGTACTTATCTAAGTAAACATCTTCGTTAATAGCTTGACCCAATGGTACAATGAAGTGTTTTGACCTACCTTTAGGAGACAATGCTACCCAGACCAACAATCTAGGTTCAAACTTTTGAACTTTTTTAAGTTTGAGTTCATTTGACGTAGTAACATGATCGCTCAAATAATATCCTGAATTTCCAGACAACTCGAAGTTGCTCAAACCAAAATTAGACTCTTTATCAATTATGATTTGTTTTTTGCGAAAAAGCTTGGTAAGTTGATAGCATTTTGTACGCCCAACCTCTTTTTGCTTAATAGTTCTTTTAGGTGCTTTTTTCTTTTTGTAATATTTGATGTTTGTCTTCTGTTTTATCGTTCTAAATATTGTTGATTTAGACACACCAAATTTTTTGGCAAAAGCACGTTGGCTAGTTCCATGGTGATGATCAATTTAATTTTTTAAAAGTGTAACTTTTGCTTTGGTCATTTTTAACACCGGTGGTTTACTTCTAACTTTCTGTTCAGGTTGTATTTTATTCTCCATTCTTTTTAAAATATTATAGCAGGTGATCTAGGAATTCCTTCCTCTTGTAAGTGTTTAACAATCTGTGGTTTAGTTCAAGACGAATGGTTTTTAACGAACTGGTACATAGTTTTTCTTAAGGTGAGTTTCCACTCATCCGTTTTTTCACGGGAACGGGATAGGAAAGGAAAAAATAATCACGTGAGCATGCGTAGTTTTCCATCAGACACATTAAAACTTATACTACGCATGCCCATGTGATTATTTTCCAGTCCCTTTCCTGTTCCCGTGAAAAAAACGGATGAGTGGAAACTCACCTTTATATTTTCTTATTTTGATGTGTTAACTTGAACCATTTTTAATAAAATTCAAATTTCAAAATAATTTCATATTATAGAATTAAATTTTCTAGAAAATGACATATCACGTCATGTGATAAAGTTATTAACAAATTAAACAAGAATGACTTGAAATTTGTCCAGATTTAATCGGGTCAGGTGTTATTCATATCTTACAAGAATGAACTGTTACTGTAGAGAAAAAGGGAATTTTCCCTTTTGTTTCCTGTGTTATAAAATAAAATCAAAAAAATAAAGTTTCAACATTTTCAAGGGCACTATAAGCACAAGTATTAATAGTGAATAATATACCAATATTATTTATGATGAAAATAATAATAGTAATAATAATAATAAAAATAACAATAATAACAATAATAATAATAATAATAATAATAATAATAATAATAATAATAACAACAATAACAACAACAACAGCAACAACAATAATAATAATAGTAATGATAAAAATAATAAGAAATTCTTTAATGGTCATCTTTAAAATGTATAATATAAAGATAAACATAAAACATCAGAATGAAGAAGTACATATTAATTTATTCTATTAATAAACTTTATAAATAATAATAATAAAAAAGAAATAATTTATAACTGCAAACTGTTGGAGAAATTTTTCAATTTGATATGTTCAAAGTCATTTTTCAATCTGAGATGTTCAAAGTCATTTTTCAATCTGAGATGTTAGAAGTCATTTTACTGGAAAGATTAATTAAAAATCAAGCTAAAAAATAATTGATTTTGAGTTGTCTTTGGCAGGTTTCTCAATTTTTTAAATTTAGGTTGGTCTCTTTCAGGTTTTTTATCAAACTGTCTGTTTCACCTGTAGATTTTGATATACATTTACAATGAACAAGTTAACACCTGGACTATTTCTGCAATAATGATTGGTTACGAGAGCAGAGAATTTCTCTCAGATAATAATAATAATAATAAAACTTTAAAATTTTGTAAAAATTCTGATTCCTAATAATAAAAAACTATTAAAATTTGAAAATAATAATGAATGCACAACAATAATGAAAACGCACAAATAAAATTCACCAGTTAAAAAGTAAAATTCACCTATTAACAATTAATAATCACATGGCACCAAGTTAAATTCAAATACCTTTTACCAAGTTAAATTCAAATACCTGTTATAATAACAGAACAATCCTGTTGATAACTTCTTTTTTTTGAATTTTGAAACAAAAACTTTAAATGAACTTTTTCGTTTTCGAACAATAAGTTTTCTATTTTTACAAACAACATAGAATTCTTTTTTTTTGTTAAATAATATTCAAATGCATGTTTCTTATTATCAATAGATGTCCAATTATTAGCATCATTGTACAATTTGAACTCAACATTCCTAAAAATTTCATCTTCACGTAACTCTAACTTGAATACACAACCTTGTGGAATTCTACTTTCTATGCTGTAAAAAATAAATAATGCAAATAAATAAATTCCATCAATTCTATTTTTCAATGTTATATTTTTTATAATGAAATACAAATATATATATATATATATATATATATATATATATATATATATATATATATATATATATATATATATATATATATTATAACATAAATACACACACACATATATATATTAACATAAATACATATATATATATATATATATATATATATATATATTATATATATATATATATATATATATATATATATATATATAAATATATATATATATATATATAAATATATACATATATATATAAATACAATTATATATATATATATATATATATATATATATATATATATATATATATATATATATATATATATATATATATATATATATATATATATATATATATATATATATATATATATATATATATATATTAGTGATGTGTTGGTTACCTGGTTTAGACCCAGGGATCCAGTAATTCTTAAAACATTTGTTTATTTTATTCACAATACAGTCGAGAAGATCTACTTTTTTTTTCCATAACATAAGTTTTGATTAATTAGCGCATATAAGCGATTATTTAGCAATAAATTGCAAAAAAATATAAATTATATATAATGCAACAATTAAAAAATGAAAATTAGTTAGCCGGAACTAATTTTTTAAAGATGATAGAAAAATTTAATTTTAAAGCTCTTGATGATTTTAGCATTAATGATGTAAGACGGCAAGATATTCCAAATATTAACAACCTATTAATTATCATTTAAAGTTGATATATTAAAGCAAACTTAATCAGTGTTATCTTGTTAAAATAATTCATCACAAGAGATTTTTCAAGCTTTTATTCCACCTTTATAATATGGACTCCTTGCTGGGTACCTGGACTCGGACCCGGTTTTTTCTTCTAGGTACCCAAAATCAAATAATTGGCATAAACTGGATCTGGCACATTTCCAATACATACATACATACATACATACATACATACATACATACATACATATATATATATATATATATATATATATATATATATATATATATATATATATATATATATAATATATATTTACTTAGGTCACTGATTCCCTGATAGTGTAGGGCTGACATAAAGCTTATGTATTAATCATGTGGAAGTTATTTTATTTTAAAGTGCGTTAATTAAAAAATATCATGCGTCAAAACAAATTCATTTTATTTAAACTTTATTAACTTAATGAGTTACAATATTGTGTGGTGTAGTGGTTAATAAACTTGATCATGGTGCTTACGCTTCAGGTTTAATTCCTATTGGAGTCTATTTTTGTTTTTTTAGAATGTTTTTTTATTAATTAACTAATTGATGCTAATATATTAATAATAATAAATATTAATATAATAAAAGAAACGGCAGTTAACAAAGTTAAGTAATTCAGTTAATAAATAACATAAATGCGCATAACTTGTCTTAGTTTTAAAGAAAAAATTAATGTAAATAAATAATTAAAAGAAAAAAGCTCTTACTCTCAAGGGATGGAGGGGGAGAATAAAAGGAGGGGGTGGGAATTTTAGTCTAGATCAAATAAACAGAGGGAGAAGGTTAATAAAAAAATGAATGGGAATTTTTTTTACACTGAAAAGTTTTTGTTTTTATCAATGACTGAAAGAATTTTTTTCTAATTTGGAAGAGGGGGTATCTTAATAAGCTTGGGGTGGGTTGGAAAATTTTCCAAAAATTGATAAATGTCCCCCCCCTCCTTTTATTAGGGACTCGAGAGTAATATAGTTTATAAAAAATTTCTTTAATAAAATTTTTTAACTTGAAATTTTTTATTTTTAACATTTGTTTTAAATCATTTATATTTTTAATTATTTTTATTATTTTATCAATACTCATTAGGTTTGCATTATATATATATAAGATTTATTTGCCTTCACCGGCTTCACTTCACTTCTTAAAATAATTATCATTTACAAGTGTAAAAGGTTGCTACAAAAACAGGCGCAACGGGTGCCCATGAATTTTCTAATATATATATATATATATATATATATATATATATATATATATATATATATATATATATATATATATATATATATATATATATATATATATATATATATATATATATATATATATATATATATATATATATATATATATATATGTATATAAACAAACTCTTGCATGGTTGTTTTTAATTTTACAATTGCTAGGTCAGTTGTAGGTTGTTTTTTTTTTCTAATTATTTTGAAGGCCAAAAAAAGTTTGAAAAAAAAAAAAAAAAAGTAGTTTTTTTTATTAGTTGATAGAGTGCCTGCCCTAACCAAACCCTCAGTCAATGTAGCGCCACTCCGTTGTGAGTCAGGCTATGAGATAGTCCATGTAACAGCATTCCCTTGTAGCAGCAGGCTATAAGATAGTTGATGTAGCAACACTCCCTTGTAGCAGCAGGCTAAAAGATAGTTGGTGTAGCAGCACTATCTTGTAGCCGCAGGCTATAAGATAATCGATGTAACAGCACTCTTTTTTATTTTTTTATTCACAATGTGCATGTTTTACAGTATAAAAATATGAATAAAAAAATTCAGAATGTTTTTAAATAAACTCTAGTCTTCTAAATTGCGTTTTTATGGTTTTTTTAAAAAATATTAAATTTAATTAGTTTCCTTGATTAAATCAATAGGTTTTTGTTATAAACTAACCTTAATTTTGTCAGTTTAAAAACCATAGACAAGCTCAGATTTGGTCGTGAAGCATGTGCAATCGCACTCAATAATTGACCACGGAAATAATATTTAGTTGCAAAAAACTGGCCAGATTTTTTAGTTGTTTTGAGAACATTTCAAAAATAAACAAAAAACCGCAATAAGATTAATTGGACCGATGAGAGGCAGTTGAAAATAGAAAATAAGCTTTTAACGCAAAAAACTTTAAGCAAAATAAATACGATTAGAGCAAATATATTTGAAACATCGCTCTTTTATATATTTTTTTATAAAATTAGGCGACATTTTTTACATGAAGTAACAACTTACTATTAATGATTGTTTAATAAGGAAACAAATGTTCTTTGATTTATCAAAGAGTATAAATAATTTTTATTTATATACTTATGTCTTATATCCAGCGCTGGATTGAGGAGGTGGGGGGGGGATTAGAAGAGCTATAGCCCCGAGACTGACAATTTTAGGGGCCGCGAAATAGTCAAGAGGACCATTCGGTATTTTTTTAAGTCATTTTTACGCTGTGGCACATAAAAAAGGTTGCCAAAATAATGCCAGCCCTGAAAAGTCCAACAAGATTCAACCAAGAAAACTAACGCTAGATGATTTATTTATAAATAAAAAAGTTTTTTCAATAACTGCTTTATGCTTCGCGTAGTTTGAAAAGTTAAACACATTTGAAACAATTCTTCTTAGTAAGATGAACAAATGAATCAAATTACTTTGTGAGGGGGAAGCGGAACTGCTTCACAATACCGCTGATGATGTTTAGTGAGTGGGCTTTATAATTTCAACTAGTATTTAAAACAGAAAAAAGTAACTTTAAGTTTAAGTATAACGAGTTTGTAAGAATGGCTGAGGCAAAAATAATTGAAGTTAGTAAACCAATTTCTAAGAACTTAAAAACTTTTCTTTCTTGGGGGAAAGAATCAGTTATCGGGTACACTGAGGAAAATGGATTAGTGGTTAAAATTATTTGTATTAACCTACATGATTATTAATAATTTCATTGAAAGCGCAGTTATTATTGAAAGTATTTTTGTTTACAAAATCAATTACAAATTTCTTTAAAAGATTACATTTGAATAAAATACACATACATAAAATTACATACATAAAAATACATTACATACATAAAAATACATTACATACATGAAAAATACATCTCTTATATATAAAAAATAAGAATATACTAATAAAATCCATAATATATTTACAAGACGATGACAAGTTAAAAAATATAAATTTAAAACATTTATTTTTGTAAACAAATAACGTTAGTTAAAAATATTAATAGCTTTGTAGATGTGGCTCCGAGATATAAAATAATAGTTTGTTTGATGGTATGTTCTTAAAAGAATTTATGCTAAAAATCTCAACGAAAAGATAACAAAACTCAATTAATATAATTTTTAAAAATATTTCAACAAAATACTCTAGAACATTCGGTTAGTATTTTTTGAATACTCTAGAAATTTCGATTAGTATTTTTTGAACCAATAGAATTAGTTGTTTGTAGATTTGGCAGGTTTTTTGTGTTTGCGAATATTCTTTTTTTATTTTTCCGCAAGACGTTTGAGAACATTTGAGTTTATGTATGTTTCCATGTATGTCCGTAAAACAAAATATTTTAAAATTTACGATAAAATAATGAACTTAATTATTATTTTGTGGACAAACAAGGAAACAATAGAAAAACTTAAATGTTAAAAATCTCGCCAGTTTTTCGCAACTAAATATTATTTTCGTGGTCAGTTGTCGAGTGCAATTGCACCTCCTTTCTGACCAAGCCTGGACGTAGTTGAAAGAGACTTTTTTTAACATTAAAAGTCCTTTTCGACTACACTATAAGGATATATATATATATATATATATATATATATATATATATATATATATATATTATGGCTCCCACATTCTGAAACAATGCCCCATGCAGAGCCTTCTTCTGGCCTTCCTACCCCCTTTGCTCCTTAATGGTTATGCATTGCTATTGGTTCTTAAGCAAATAAAAATAAAGAAGAAACCATAAAAACATATAAAAGGGACATTTCAGAAACACAGTAAGTCACTTTTGGATAAAAATGATGAAGTATGGAATCATGTTATATAAGGGTAGATACCTGTTATACTTTGAATCAAAGATCTGGCTAATATGATTTCTCAAAGAAACTATATCTACCCTCAGATAACACAATATCGTGCTTGACTCATTTTAGTCTAAAAATGACTTATGGTGTTTCTGAAATGACCTGTTCATATAAAGTTTGTTATTTAAGAAACTGCTTTTAATTTCAAAATCTAAATCATTTTTGCATTTATTTAGAGATTTTGTTTTAAAAAGGATTAGATTTTTAAATGTTTCAAAGTTATAACTCAAAATATCAATTTTTTTAAATTGATTTTTCAACTTAATGAGACTAAAAGGTGTTCAAGATTTATTTACTTAAAGATTGTGCTTAGCTATGAAATGGTATCAATGCACCCCCCTTCCTTAAAAATGGTATCAATGCACCCCCCCTCCTTAATAATGGTATCAATGCACCCCCTCCCCCTTAAAAATGGTATCAATCTCCTTTTAAAACTCTTTAAATCAAAACTACAAAAATTACTTAACTTTACTTTATTACATTCAAAATATTTTTATTATTTATCATAACATCATTTTTTAATATGATTAAAAAATGATGTTATAGAAATTATATTGATTTATTATTTTTATTGCTATTGGCAATCAAAATCAAGACTACTGACAAAATATTTGTTCAATAACAGTTCAATTGGTAATTGAACTAGTAAAAAATGGTAAGTGAACAAGTAAAAAATGTGAGAAAAACACGAAAAATGATTTACACAATGGTTTGAAAAATTGTAGTTTGAGAATAAATACAAATGTTAAGCTATTGTGTGTGCATATGTGTATTGAAATTTGATTTGATAAAACACATTAAGCATGTATTGATTTATCTGCTAGAGTAGTATTAGGGCCCAGTGGTAAAAGAGTGGTACTGCCTCTTGTAGGTTTTATGAAAATATTTTACAATATACAGAAATTGCAACAGACAAAAGTAAAGTACTTAGTTGAATAAAATAATCAAGAGCAACATTGAAAGTATTCACCTCAAATTGTTATTTGTGGATCTCATGGAAGGTAGCTGCATTTTCAGAATCATCCTGATGACCTTTTTGATGTCATTTTAATGTCAAAAATTCTGCTTCAAGTTTCATTTAAGTTTTAAAGCTTCTTTAAAGGGAAAAAAGTAATTTCAATGATCGAGTTGCAGAAATCAGTTTAAAGAACTGATTAAAATACTGTATTAAATACAGTATTACATTATATTAAATAAAGTATTAAGTTATCTACAATATTATTGCCGAATGAAGCACTCCTTCGGAGCTTTTTATACAAATCTTAAAAATTTTAAAGTCAGCAAGGTCAGTGATAGCCATTCAGTGTGATGAGCATTAAAGTTACTATTTACAACAATAATGGCAATAAAATAATACAACAATAAAAAGAAAGCGCATAGTCAATTTGATCATTATAAACATCAAAAAGAGTGGAAGGTCTTAAAAAAAATTTACATATATGCCGATAAATTTACATATATGTGATAAAGATTAAAAACATCAAAAAGAGTGCAGTCTTTGGAAGGTGGAAAACAAAAAAGAACAAAAAGAAAGATGATTGAGCCAATACTAAGATTCAAATATGAAAATGTCTAATTTAAATCTCACTAGGAGCAATTAAGTCTGATAATTTTTGATAGAAGACTCAGCAGATAAATTGTTACTTTAAAGACCATGAATATTTCTAAAACATAGATTGAAGCAATTTTGTGGCAAGGATGGGATTTTTTTATTAAGATGTTTTTATACTTCATAAAACCTGAAGAGTGGTGATAATAGTGGTGATGTTTAATATTTCTGGTTACTTTGGGCATGGTTTAAGTTAAAAAAGAATTTAGCCATAGCCACTACCATGCAGGCACAAGCAAAATCCCACAGTCTAGGAGATTCAATGATCATTATCCTAGGCAAGATAGAAACTACATGTTACCAGTAGCAAGGTGATCATGACGATGCTAATCCTGATACAATTGAGCTATCATCAAGCTTATTATCAAGTTATTCATCATTTAGTTTTTATTAAAAGTTACCATTGTTAAGTTATCATAGTATTAAAAGTCTCATAAATTCATAACTTGTAAGCAAGTTTTATTGAAAAATAATTTTTATTTCATGAAAAATTTTTCTCAAAAAAAAAAAATTTTATCAAGAAAAGTTAAATCTGTTGATAAATCATGTTTCTAAAACAAGTAAAAATAAAATCTTTGAATACAATTTTAAAAGGGCTGTTAAAATTATAAAAAAATTAAATTAAAAAATCACTTAGTTAGCTCTTTCTAAAGAAAAAGCTATCCATGTGTTTTGTTGTTGTTGTTCCATGTATTTTATTGTTGTTGTTATTGTTGTTGTTCCATGTGTTTTGTTGTTGTTATTGTTGTTCCATATGTTTTGTTGTTGTTGTTCCATATGTTTTGTTGTTGTTGTTATTGCACTAAAAAAAAAGGTACAAAACTCAAGTTTTATAAACAACTTTAGCAACTGCACCAGAAAAACACACTATGCAAAATAAATGTGTCAATGAAAATGTTATACACTCAATTGTGTGTATTAAAGAAATTATTTATTAAGCAACTATGTATTATGATTAATTATTTTTGTAATACTTTATATTGTTAAACTTTTTTTTAATATTTATAACTTGTTTAATTTATATCTTGTATTTATTTTTTGTTTTTTGTAGTCATTTTTTTATTTAAATCGAGCTAATTATGTTTCTTTTCAAACTGTACAAACATTTTTTTTAAACACATTGCCTTATCTAAAAAGACATTTAATGGGACTTTAGGATTCCTTTCATGTGACAATTTTAGGGTTAATAGTAGGGCTGTACCGGATTTAATTTTTCCAAATCCAGCCGGAGCCAGATTTGCCAGATTTCTACTAAAAGATCCGGCTGGAATCCGAGCTGGAGCAGGATTTCGAAGCAAAACTACAGAAGCCAAAATCCTGTACATCCCTACTTGGTGCTGAAAAAAGTCAACTATGTTGACTATTCAGAATACCAAGTGACAGTTGTTTTCTTAAACTTCATTTTTGTTGTTAATAAGTTTTATGGCAATTTCTATAGAAATTAATAGACATTTTATATAAATTCTATAGAGTTTCTATAGGCCATATGTTTCAAAAATTTAGAGAAATTCTATAGAACTTTTTTTACCGGGATGTTGTCACTCTGCCACTGTAGTGAATCAGCATGTCTATATATTTCTGATTCTTCCAGATATTGGCTTAGCTGAGTGTCAATGCCTGTTGGTAATTGTTGTTCATGTGCTGTGCCACAAGCGGGCGTAGACTGAATAATTTCATCTATATATATTGCCATTGTAATAATGATAAAGTATAAGAATTATCTAGCTAGGCTTGTTTTGCTGGATTTTCTTTAGTTTTGTCAATCTGCTGCTCAGCATGCTCAGATTGGCTTCAATCTTGCTTTTTCACCTTTCAGTGTTGCCTGTCATGAGAAGAGTTTAGTTTGAAATTATGGATCAACCAGTGTCACCACTATACAAAAAGGTTTCTCCTTTACCTTTAAAACGCTCATCCAATGACTTGATTAGGATTGACTTCATAGTCTTTACACCTGCATTATTACAGAATATCGTGTGTCTTCCCTTTAGAACTTTATGTTGTGTTTGAAATTAGGCTTAGCTAATTAAATTGTAAAGAAATGTAAATACAGATACCAAAACAAACATGAAGTTCATAGACTATAGAATTACTAAAAACATTGATTTGTAAAAATAAAATATTAAGTATACATGTTATCACGGGCAAGAAAGATGTAATAAATATCTGACCAAAATTCAGAAATCCAGCCAAAATTATGTTGGACTAGCTAACATTTTGTCGGAGCCGGATTTTGGCCGGAGAAGGAGCCGGAACCGAAATTTGGTACAGCTCTAGTTAATATTAGAAAAAAAGTTATGAGGTCATTTTCCTGCATAGAAACTATAATAGAAAAAGTGTTCTGAATAAAAAAAGTCCACAACTGCATCGCAGCTACATTAAATACCATAAAATAATCATCGCAGCTACATCAAGTACTATAAAATTAGACAACATAAAAGTACAACAAATAACATTGAATAACATAAAATTACCTGAAAAGATATTTTATTACCTTATTTTTTCTGAACTAGATAAATAATCTAAAATATAAAAATATATCAGCCTTGTAATTCAAAAGTTCAAAAACAAAAAAACAAACTCAAAAAAACAAAAAAACAAACTCATAAAATAACAAAAAAACTTTTGATCTACTTCTATGCAAAGAAAATTTTAAAAAGTTAAAAATTATAAAAATGTTAACAAAAATTTTGTTTAAATCTATTTTAGTTTATCTAAAGTATGTATGGATTAATTTTGTGTGTAAGCATATTTAATGCATGCACACACTTCTTAAGAATTAATTGCTTTTCTCAAGTTAAAAAAATCAAATCATGTTTAAAAGAACTTTTCCATAACAAAAGAAGTTTAAATAGTTTAAAATACTATTACTGTTTAGATATTCTTACCTCTAAATTGCCTCTCAATTTCAACCACTATATCTAAACGCTCAAAAGATTTCAACTCTTTTTTCAATTGCTCCCATGAAGGATTTCCATTTACTTGTTTCCATTTTTTTAAAACATTAACAGCTTTCTCGTAATTTTTTATATTATCAGAGCCAATGTTATCAAGACTTGAATCACTTAAACCTAGATGTTGTCCCCATCGGAACCAATCACTACCAATTTTGTAGCTTATTTCACTACAACATTTTGAAGTCAGCTCATCAGAATTCAACTTGTTTCTTGACACTAAATATAAAATACTGAATTTTTAAATGTGAAAAAAAAAGTTAAATAAATTTAAAAATAAAAGGTGTCAATTGATAATAATTATGAAAATTTCAATAAATTTTTTCAAATTCTTAAAAAATATCCTATATAGACCCAGCACTCAAGATATTTGACACAAACCCTGCTTTAGATATTTGATGGCCAATTTTAAAATAAAATTCAAATTATTAAATAAAAAATAAAATTCAAATTATTAAATACTTTGGATTTTACAACTTTGAACTGAATAAAAAAATATGAAGTTTTTAAAAATAATGCAATTTTCTGAGAACGAGTTACTGAATAAATAAAAACTTTTATTTTTACTTTATGTGAATTTAATCGTTCATGATTAGCAAAATTTTATATAACGAAACTTACAATTAATGCTGAATAGTCATTTTAAATAGAAATTTGTACTTTTGTACAACAAGTCTATTTTGTGTCATTATTGAGCATAAGTATGTTTTAATTAGTGTTAATTTAGAAAAACTTCCACCATTATAGGTATTGTTAATAAAATTTGCAAAATAGTCATAACATTTGGAAACATGTCTTGCAATCTGCTATTATATATGAACTTTATAACTTCAAGAAAAGTACCCCACGTGTGTCTGGTGACACGTGTGCTAATGTTTTCAGTTCAGCAAATATATTAAGTTCTTTAATGTCATATTAGAATGAAGTGTTAAGTTAATGCGAATCATCAGATTCAGAAAGACAGAAAGAATTAAACTCAGGAAAAGAGATAGAAAGTATCAAACTTAGAAACAGAGAAAGAAACAAGTATCATAGATAAAGTATCAAACAAGATAAAATAACAAGACAAAATAATAAATAGCCTAAAGATAATTGATAATTTGTTAACTGTTTAAGACAACCATTTTAAAACCGCATTAAAAAAAATCCTAAATTTTTATTTTGGATCATGTGCTGACTTATCTTTGGTTTCAAAAAAAAAAAAAATTTTTATTTCGAATCAACACAGATGGAGGAAGCATGGTTTCTTCTGAAGAAGTTTTGCTAATTTTTTTGCTGATATAATATTTTTTTGAACCTATTTACTTTAAATTTTAATTTTACTTTAAATTTTATTTACTTTGAACCTACTTACTAAAAAATTGAACTTGAACTTGTTTTTAACAATTTAAAAAAATTGACAATTTCATTTATCACTGCATAATTTTGAATAAATTCACTTGAAATAAAATGTGATACCAAACACATATGTGTGTTTAATACTTTGTGTACAAAGAAACTAGAAATAATCTCAAATTGCTTTTGTAGGAAAAATGGCTATATTTTGACATTTTGGATCATTTGCTATTTCGGAAATTTCATTGAATGCATCATAAATATCACTTATTTGATAAGAAATTGCTTCAATGCAGTTCACTTTACATTCCCATCTAGTATTGGATAAATAAACTGTTGGATAAATAAACTGTTGGACTTTTGATATGATTTTGTAGTATTTGCCATCTTTGAACTAATGCCAAAAATAAAAAATAAATTATCTTTTCTGCATCAGTTCAAAGATTAACAAAATATTTTTTTGCAACTACAGAAAACTTTTAACCATATCTGAAAACAACATGTCTGAAAGCCATATCTGAAAACAAAATGTTGTGGCAACCACATGGTATAAAGAAAGCTCTTTCGCTAATTTCTAACATTCTGGTCTGAATTCCTTTGTTGCAATCTTTTATATTTACATCATTGTCATATCCTGTCATATCCTTATTATATGTTTGGCAACGACAATCAGAAATTGATACTCCCAAATCATTAAATTTTTGTAAATATTTTTGTTAACCCTACTCCAACTTTTACTCCAGTACTTTTTTTTTTTTTCTTTTTTCTTTCTTTTTCTTCTTCATACTTTCTACTTTCTTCTTGGACTTGCAAAAATCCTACAAAATGTTGAATGTATTAAGAGTTTTAGCATTACTGTCATTTTTTTTGTTGGCTGATATTTGTTGTGCAATCCATTATTTAGAGTGCTTAACTTACATAATTAGTTCTTTTAAAACTTTGTTTTTAAACTAATTAATTGTTTTGTATGATTTTGTCAATGTTCATTAGTTTCATTATTGTTAATTTGGCAATATGTTTGAGCAGAACCAACACAAACTTGGCAAATAATTCCACTAACCCTTAAAAGACCTAATTTTGTGTTTAGTTTTTAATCAGTTCCTCAATATGCCAAGTTTCTTTGAGCAAAAATTGGATTATATCAATGAGTTGTTCAAGTTGTTGCCATGCCAATGCTGTTTCTCAGAGTTAAATATTTTTTGTGTTTGTCAATTGTCTGATTTGAATTTAGTCTGTTTTCCAACATGATCAAATTCTTTTGAGAGTTTATGTACCTAGAAAATGTTTTAAGAATTTATGTACCTAGAAGATATTTTGTGTATATCAAGACTGTAAAAATTCTTTAAAACTCACAGAATTTAAAAATAGTATACAGTAAAAAAAAAAAAAAATCTTCGTTTGTATGAATTGAGCTGAAAATTTTTCTAATTATCAAATCATCCTTATAAAAATGTATTCACAGAATTTAAAAATAATTTACAACAGAAAAAGCTTTGTACCATCTTCTAATTGTTTGATAATTCAAAAGTTTTCTGTTGTAATGTACTTTTGAGAAATGCCTACCATTGGTTACCATTGGTTACCATTGGTTAATGGAAAAATTATGACTCTTATAGGTCCTTTTTTACCCATTTTTTGTTGGGCAACAAATTTTGAAAACTATTAACATAAATGCTAAATGTTTTCAAAATTCGATGTCCAACGACAAATATTATTCCAATCAACAGTTTTCATCCTGAGTTAGTTCAATATTTTTTTGAAAAATTTCAAATATATTATCTTGTATAACTTATTCTTGTTCTTTGATTCTCATTAAATAAATAGAAAGATCAGGAAAATAATCAAATGAAATTATCTGACCAATTTCTATACTTGTGGTTTTCAAAGCCCATTTTCAAAGCCCAGATGGGGGTATTCTCATTTCCATTTGATAATGGTCTAAATTAATTCTTTTTTTTGTTTTGTATATAGCTATACTTTAGTTCAGCGCTACAGGTTTTATATACATTCGCTTGATAATTGCTTCATGCAGAATCAATGTTCAAGAAATTTATAGTGCTGCAGTTGATAATAATTGTCCAAATAAAATTAAAAAATTTGTTAATAATTATCCAAAGGGAACTGTTAAAAAGTTGAACTGATTTGATTAAAATAAACGAAAATATAAAATATAAAATATAAAAGTTTATATATTTTTATTCAGATTAAATTAAAAAAAACTCAGATTTTCTTAAAATTTTTTAAACTTATGATTTAAGTTTATAAAAAAAAGAACAAAAATTCCTCATCTCAAAGCATTCTAAAATTTGATTTTATAAAATGTTCCTTGCATGTTATGGGACTACAAAAAGGTATTGTTGTGTATCTAAGTTAAAAAAGTTATTTAGTAAAATTGAAAGTTCATTTTTTGTCATTGCTATCATTTTGTCAATAAAGTTATGCCCGGGTCTATAGAATGTCATATGAAAGATGAAACAATAAGCATCAATTATAAAACATGTACAGCCTATATTCCAACTGGTTCCGAAGTTGCAAATAAAATATTCAAGATGTTGGAATGTTTGCAATTAAAATGAATGTCTATTCAAGACAGACCCAATTATGGAAAAAAGAAGTTAAAGGAGGTTTCAAATTCTTGCAAAGCAATAATTTTGAACTACTTGGGAATTTCCAATAATGAAATTTCTATTACTTGCTCAATAAACAATGAAAATTTGAAAAATTTGACAGACCAAGATTTGACAGACCAAGATTTGTGAAGGAAAAAATTAGATCTCTAGATTATATTTATAAAAAGAAATTACTCCAATATAAAAATTGGTTTTGAGGGGGTCGCTCACCTCTGGCCCACAGTGCAGTTTATAAGTGATATCTTCAATCAACATGGTTTTGAATATGAGAATATAGTGCTGTACAAACAGTGGTTAAAAAAGGAGAATGCTATTAGTTTGGTAATTTTAGAACTTCTGTTAGAGGAGTTTCTTGAAGAAATTGTTTTTACAATTAAAAACTTGCAATCACACTATTTTATTTTGAAGGTGTGGAGTGGAGTCCAGCCCTTATTCCTTCAAAATCTGAAAGAAAATCTTCGACAAAACCAAATTATTATTTTGTTTGATTTTGCAGAAAATTATACTTTCATAGCACAAAACAAGCCATAGGATTTCATTGAAATAATAACTAAGCAACACTACTTCCTTTCGTTATTTACTACAAAGATTCTGAAAATAAACTCAAACCCATAAAATATTGCATAATATGGTAGATTGTATGCAACATGATACATAATGTTAATGCATTTTAACAAGAGTTTTAGATGATACAAAAATTGTCCTACCAAATTTGACCTTATGTTTTACCTTAGTGATGGCAGCTAGCCAATACAAAAACTATAAAACTCTTAGCAACCTGTTTCATCACTTTATAGACCATGAAGACTGCTACTCTAATTCTAAAAGGTTTACAAGAATACTCTCATATCACTGTTTTATAATATGTAATAATGGGCTAGAAATGAAACGTATTACATATTTTATAACAGCTAATGCAACTAATATTGAAGAAGGCTGGACTTCAGACTACATGCTGGAATGAACCTTACATATGTCTATGATACAAGAAATAGCAGATGTTTATGTAAAACTTATGCAATAAAATGGAGTAACCTTTAAATGGCCCAGGCAAGAAATCAAATGTTGGGTTATAAATGTTTTAGCAAAGGTAAATATTCTGGTTGCACAGAATTATTTTGAGAGCAAGAATATTATTTTTTTACTTCAATTGTAATAGAGATTCATTTCTTGCCTTTTTTTTTTTGAGTTTTAAATTTATTCATATGTTGGAAAAATATAAGCTTTTAATGTACAAATATCTTTATTTTAAAATTCATTTTTAAACTCCTCATTTTAAAAAGAATAAATAAACAAACTTTCACATTAAAATGTTGATCAGTTTTAAAGATTATTTTATTGACTATATAACAAATTCAAAATTTTGATATAAAGTTTAAGCTCAGATATCTCAGCAGCTACAAAAGTTTTGAGTGACTTTGAAACTATGATTTTTTTACCTACAAACAACTACTCGCACAACAACAAAAGAAAAGATTTTCTGCATTGAATCGTTATTGATGATGAAAAGTGGATACATTATGACAACCCTAAAAACAGAAAAGCATGGTTCAAGCCCAGCGAGCCATCAACATTGAAAACAAAGGAATATTTATGGTTCAAAGCTCATGCTCTGTACCTGGAACCAGCTCAGAGTAATATATTGTGAACTGTTTAAACCGAACAAGACGAATACAGCAGACTGTTACTGACAACAACTGATCAAGCTGAGCCAAGCATTAAAGGATAAATGGCCAAAATATGCCAAAAAATATGAAAAGTTTATTCTTCAATATGACAATACATGATCCTATGTTGCAAATGTAGTAAATAAATACCTGGAGAGCCTCAAACGGGAAGTCTTACCCCACACGCCATATTCACCAAACAATGCCACCACCGAAAATCATTTGTTCAATGACAATGGCCTGTGGTCAATGATAGATGGCTGGCTGAGCAGCAATTTCCTTTTTATGACAATAACAAAAAATCGGTTGATTACTGAAATGGGCCTCAAAAGTCCAAGACTTTTTCCAGCCTAAATTTCCCATGCTACCTGAAAAATGGGAGAAGGTTGTAACTCCCAAAGGACAGTATTTTTAGTGATCTCAGTCTGATAGTATTCTCGAAATAGACTGTTGATTTTTAATAAAAATTAATTATTTTCAATCCATACTCCCAATATATATACATATGTTTTTTTAAATTTTTTTATTTATTCAATTAATTTAGAAGGCCGAAAAAGTTTAAGAATAATATTTTAGAATACCTGCCCAAATCAAAACCCTCAGTTGCAGTAGCAGCACTCCTTGTTTATTCTACCTATTTGTCATTTAATGTAGCAGCACTCCTTGCATGTTCTACCTATTTGTCAGTTGTGTAATAAAAATTAGAAAAACTCAAAATATTTTTATTATTATTAAAAAAAAAAAAAGGGTTTTAGTCTACTAAGTTGCATTTTTGTGGTTTTTTAAAAAATGATAAAATTTAATAAGTTTCCTCAATAAAATTTAATTTTTATTGAGGAAACTTATTACATAAAGTTTACTTCATTTTGTTACTTTTAATGACAAAGAATTGTTTATAGGCACTTTTTTTTACCACTAACGGTAAACTTGTATTCTCTGTGCCATTAGGCTGGCTAATTCCCTGATACACAATCCACTGCACCTAAATAGATAGATGCACCTATAACTACAATCCACTGCACCTATAACTAAATAGATAAAAAGTAAATAAAGTAATAAAAGTATAAAATGGTTACATGTTTGTAACCAATGGTTACATATTTGTATGGTTTGAATTGTAATGGTAATTGTTACGTGCTTGTATGGTTTGAATTGGTTTCCATAATGCTATTTTCTTATTTAACAAAGCATATCTTTTAAACTGAACACTCGTTTTGTTTTAATCTTTACCTCTCTAAGGCCTAGAAGGCCACTATAGTCAAGGAAACTACTTTAATTGTGGTTACAAACCACTCTTAACTCTATAAACTATAGTTTATCTAAAGGTTAATAATTTACTAATCATATAAGATTAAGAAGCTGCTCAAACCCTTACCCAAGTCAATAGGGAATTTTATGCAATATTTTTCTTTCTCCTAGTTGCTTAATTGCCAAAACTATGTGAGAAACTATACCAAATTCTGGACAAAAAAAAAAACAATTTTATTTACTTTTATGCAAACAAAATTTTAGTCAAAAATTAAATTAAAATAAAAATAAAACTTCTATTATGGATATGGATCTTTATTTGAAATTAATTTTTATACAATATTTCAAGGGATTATAGATACCCTCGTTATCAAGTATATATATTTATATATATAAAAACCGTTAAAAACAAAATAAAAACAAAAACAAATTAATGCAATAGTTTTTTTTTCATTTAAATACCAAAACAAAGGTTTCCAAAAGGAAGTTGTGACATAACCTCCGTCATCCTGATTTAGACCGCCGTATGAAGGTGAGCATTTATGGCGTTGTATTTCAAGGGCTCACCCTCACTTTTCTGTTAAAATTATTAACTTCTACTTTTTAAGTATTTTTATTGTTCCATGAAAAATTGCCATGACAAACAAAATTAAAAATTAAAAAATTAAATGTTTACAGAAAATTTACTTAAATTTATTTCAGTTCATCTTGTGTCACCATGCCTCACGAGCCCCATTTTAAAAATATATTATTTAAAAATTTTAAAAGATATAAAACAAAATACAAACATAATAATAAATAAATAAAAAGTAAAAATATACCCATTATGGCAGAACTGCGCAACTGTGAATTTCCCATTTTGTTCTACTAGCCTTAGATCATTGAAGACAATGATAAACTAAAAAATATATATAAAAAGCTAATGTTCTTCTTATTATGTTATAAAATCCTGAACCCTGCTATCATATTTATTTTATATATCATTTATTTTATTTTATATATATTTTATAATTTTCATTTCATATTATATATTGTAATATAAAGTTAATATAAAGTTTTTAAACAATTAATGTTTTAAAACTAAATAAAGTATTAAAACCTCAAGGACATACTTCATTCAAACCTTCTAGTGGCGTGAAAACTAGCTTCTTTTACACATTTTATAAGCACTTATTTATTTTTTTTATATATATTTCATTCCAGTGGCATGAAAACTTCTTTTACATATTTTATAAGCACTTACTTTTTTTATATATTTAATTTTTTTATATTTATCAGATGCTATGTCTGATAATAAAACATTTCTTTTGGAATTTCAAAAATTATTTTATTTGAGGCCTAAAGTCTATTATTAAAAGATCTGGAGCCATATTCTCATCTTTTTGTTAAGCTTAACAGAGAGTTAGTTAAAAGTCTCTTTTTAACTACGTTAATAAAAAAATTCTTTGAAAATATAATTTTTTAAACATGAATGTTTTATTTTAGTATTTGTTTTATATAATCAAATTTAAATAAAGCTTTCCTCATATTGATGAAATATTTTAATGAAATTTCTAAAGAGAAGTAAATATGGCTGCTGAAGTCTATTATATGAAGACCTAAAGTCATATTTTATACATTTATGTCAGGTGAGGTTTACCCTGCTACTGGTAACATGTAACTCAGTACAATCTGCTTCATGTCCTGCTGCCTTGTAGGATATGCCTTTTTAGGCAAAGGCTAGGAGATGCAAACTCCGACATAAAACACCCCCTGCCTTGGGGCTCTTGGTTGAGTAAAGGCTAGAGATGTTGTCTCGATAAAAATACTCATCTTGGGCAGATGTTACATGCATCCAGCTGCTGTCTTGTAGAAGGCCTCCTAGGCAAAGACTTAAGGGGTAAACAGATTCTATCTGTTGACCAGCCTCGCACCCCTTCCTCATCTATTAGGCTGGCGCAGATGTATTTTTAATACATTGTTTCCAGTTTAGGATGTTGAACGCTGGATCTTCTTGACTCGATTCATGGGTTTTACTTGTGTCTCTGTTTTTATGACTAGGCAACTCATTCTATTATCTCCAAATGAGGGTACAACTCTAAAACTCAGTTTTATGGTTCTGAGGCCAGTTGGTAGTCAGGTTTCCTGAACTCTGTGGTAGCTCTCAGAGAGGCTGATTCCATCAACAGCTGAAAAATATCAGAGTACTAACAGTGCCATGTTGCGCATGGATGGTGTCCCTGTTTGTACTTTTAATGTGCATTGCCAAGACCACATTGGAGCCCTTTGTTATGGCTTAGGGTTTATTAGTGGAAATTAGGCAATTGCTTGAGCTATAAAACAGTGTACTGAGTACTATCTATGTTTCGAGTCAAGTTTTTTAACAAATCTAAAAATGAATAAAGTAACAAAAACTATAAAACACAAAAAACCACAATCATCACCAAGTTCGCTAAACCTATCATTCACCAATATTCGTGGTCTTCAAAGTAACTTTTCTTCTATTGAGTCTTACCTCTTGCAAAGTTCACCAGACCTACTTGCTCTTTGTGAGACTAATTTGAGTTCAGCTGTTTCATCTTGTGATCTTAATGTTGATGGTTATCTTTCTTTAATTCGTAAAGACTCCAATAGTCACATGCTTGGCCTGGGCATTTACATTCGTAAGAATTCACCCATTTGTCAGGAAACTAGGTTTGAATCCACAGACTACTCTTTTATGTGCTTTTGTTTAGCACCACTTCACTCTATCACCTTTCTCTTTGTTCTATATTGCTCTCCCTCATCTCAAGACTGCACTCTTCTTGATGTTATTTCTGATTATATTGACCAAGCCCTCATTCTTTATCCATCAGCCAATATTGTTGTTGTCGGTGACTTTAATGTTCATCACACTGAATGGCTTGGAACTAGTGTCAGTGACTCTGCAGGCATTAAGGCCCACAACTTTTGTCTTTCTCAATCCCTAATTCAAATAGTCAACTTTCCTACTCGCTTTCCAGACAACCCGAATCATTTACTTTCTCTACTCGACTTATGTCTTGTTTCTGATCCTAGTCAGTGCTCAGTTTCTTCACACTCACTCTTAGGTGCGTCTGATCATGGTTTGATCTCTCTAAAACTATTATCTCATTCTTCTTTACCATCAGAATCCCCCTATCATCATACATCTTACAACTACCTTAAAGCTGACTGGGACTCTTTCCGTGATTTTCTTCGTGATGGCCCCTGGGTAGAAATCTTTTGTCTCCCTATTGACAAATGTGCTTCTTACATAACTTCGTGGATTCAGGCTGGCATGGAATCCTTTATTCCCTCTCGACAATTCCAGGTCAAGCCTCACTCTTCTCCATGGTTTTCCTCACATTGTGCTGCTGCAATTGCCAATCGAAACCATTACTTCCATATCTATCAGCAAAACAATTCTCCAGAAAACAGACGTCTGATTATTAGTGCTAGGAACCATTGTAAAAAGGTTTTGTCTAACGCCAAAGCTCGCTATTCTCAGATCATGAAATCTCGTATTTCATCACAAAAATTAGGCTCTCGTGACTTCTGGAGAATCTTTAATAGTATCAATAATAAGGGCAAGTCTGTAATTCCACCTCTTTTGTATGGTTCAGACTTTGTCCCCTCACCTAAAGACAAAGCTGAATTGTTTGCCAAGAACTTTTCATCAATATCATCTCTTGATGCCACTAGTTGCGTTCTACCTGATATACCCGTCAAACAGGTTGATCCATTGCTCGACATTCGTATCACTCCAGCTTCTGTATCTAAAGTGATTTCCCGCTTAGACTCTTCTACAGCTTGCGGCCCAGACAACATACTTGTTATAGTCTTGCAGAAGTGTTCTCCGGAGCTGTCGTCTATCCTTTCAAAACTATTTAATAAGTGCTTATCAGAGTCTTGTTTTCCAGCCTGCTGGAAAGCAGCATCTGTTATCCCTATTTTTAAAAATTCTGGAGATCTGATTTATCTAACTACCGCCCCATTAGTCTTCTTTCTATCATAAGCAAGGTTTTTGAATCTTTAATTAACAAACACTTAATCTCTCATCTCGAATCTCATAACCTACTTTCTGATCATCAATATGGATTTCGACCTTCTCTTTCTACGGCTGATTTGCTATCAGTAATAACCGATAGGTTTTACCGCGCATTAGATAAAGGTGGAGAGGTTAAGGCCATCGCTCTTGACATTTCTAAAGCGTTTGATGAAGTTTGGCATGCTGGTCTTCTCCATAAGCTATCTTCTTATGGTGTATCTGGAAACATCTTTAAGATTATTGAATCCTTGCTTTCCAATCGTAGTATAAAAGTTGTCCTTGATGGACAGCACTCTTCTTCTTATTCTGTAACCTCAGGGGTTCCCCAAGGTTCAATCCTTGGCCCTATACTCTTTTTAATTTAAATTAATGATCTTCCAGATATTCTCACATCTAAAGTGGCATTGTTTGCTGATGATACTACCATTTATTCTTGTCACGGTAAGAAGCCAACTCCCTCTGATTGCTTGCAGGGGGCATCTGAGCTTGAAAAGGATCTCACTTCTGCAACAGCATGGGGCTCACAGTGGCTGGTAAACTTTAATTCAGATAAAACTCAATTTTTTTTGGCCTAATCATTATCGCAATAATTTAGACCTTCCTATATTTATGAACGGTAATGTATTCGATGAGTCTCCTACCCTTCATCTTCTAGGATTAACTCTTACTTCTGATCTTTCTTGGAAACCTTATATCAAATCCGTTGCAAAATTAGCATCTGCTAAAGTTGCTTCTCTTTATCGAGCTCGTCACTTTCTTACTCTGGATACTATTCTCTATCTCTATAAATCTCAAATCCGGCCTTGTATGGAATACTGTTGCCATATCTGGGGCGGATCTTCTAATGATGCCCTTTCTCTTTTAGACAAGGTGCAAAAACGCATTGTAAATATAGTTAGACCTGCTCTTGCAGCCAACCTTCAATCTCTGTCACATCGCCGTAATGTTGCTTCTCTTTCTCTTTTCTACAAATACTATAATGGGCACTGCTCGAAGGAGCTAGCATCTCTTGTGCGATCTACTAAAACTCATTCTCGTGTTACTTGTCATTCAATCAAGTCTCATCCTTTTTCTGTTACTGTTCCTAAGTGTTCCAAAAACTCTTATTCGTCTAGTTTTTTTCCTCGAACATCAGTTCTTTGGAATTCACTTCCTTCATCTTGCTTTCCTGATTCATATAATTTGCAATCTTTTAAGTTGTCTGTCAATCGTTATCTTGCTCTCCAATCTTCATCTTTTCTCTTCCAGTAACTTCCAACACTAATTAGTGGTTGCTTGCAGCCTTGTTGGAAGCAAAGATAATTAAAAACAACAAAAAAAAAAATTTATGTATCTAATGTAAATTATGATATCCTGCTTAAAAATAACTGAAAGAGTTGATTTTTATAAATACAATATTATAATTTTTATTTTTTACTATAATTAGATTTTGTAAATGAAAAAAATAAAAATAAAAAGATGTTAACTTAATGTAGATAAATAAAAACTAGTTAAGTTTATTTGTTCAAGAACCATTAATTTTTTTTTAGTTTCAACTTGTTTGCATTAATTTTAGTCAGTTATCAATAGATTTTATTTATATTTTATGATAAGGTACATTTGAAAAAAAAAGTATTCAAGAGTGTTTATACTAATTTACAAACATAAATTAATTTGGTGATTGTTTAGATCAACTAACTTTTAATAATTTTTAGTAAATTTGTTAAAAATGATATTTAATTTCTCATTAAGGTAACTCGTTTTAAAATGAGTTTAAAATGAGTGAATATAGTCAGATTTTTATAATAATCATTTAAAATGAGTTTAAAATGAGTGAATATAGTCAGATTTTTATAATAATCATTTAAAATGAGTTTAAAATGAGTGAATAT